ACGCGTTATGCATTCAATTGTGGCAACGACTGATCGGCGAGGGATCTTAAATCGCGTGATGTGCTAACAGTAAATATAACATTAGCCGTTTTTAATGAGCACTTAAGTGGTGTGGTGATGGCCATTACTTGCATTTTACCGAAAATAAAATTAAGGAAACAGCAAACTGAATAAATTAGCATAGCCATAGAGTTGAATTCTTAAGGGAAATGTCTAATGTTTATTTCATGAAAAAGTGAAAAGTCAAAATGCGAAATATCTCGTTTTGAATTGTAAATGGACTGCCTTAGCTGAATTGGTGCTGCATGACCGAGGTTACAACGAAAGCCAATGTTTTTTTCAACCATAATATGGCCTTCATAAACACAAATCGCTCGAAAAGCTTGATTGTCATAAAGAAAACAAGAATTCGATCGGTTTTAGAAATATAGCATGCAATACAAGTATTTTTACAAACTTAATTTTAATAATATGTATTTCGCGTAAGTTAACTTATGGCTATGTAAACGCATGCTGTGTACTCGTAAAACCTAGGCTGAGCACATGCGCACACACTTCATATTGTTATTCTACGAAACTCATTCAAATGCTCAACACTTTAGACACGTACGCAAAACCAAATAGCTATGCTTTGAATTGCAATTACGATACATAGTGCCAATTGTAGCCTAGCTAAGCTTAAGTACATACAAACAAATGAATTTTGACGAATTCCAAATAGGTTAGGCCCAAAAGTTCAAATATATGTGCCGCAGCTTGGCCAAATACAAAAGTAAGCTAAGCTTTGTCGAATAAGCATTGCAAAAACGACAATACAAATTCCGATTTCCGTTTATTTGTCAAATTTTTTTTGATCGCTTAATTGTATTTGTTGGCTCGTACATCAATTCTTGTTATTTCTCAGCACTTTTCTGCTTTATTAGCGCTGATTTTTTACTCTTTAATCATCTTGCAATACATTTGAGAAATCTTTTTATAAAAACTAGAACTGGTAATATTCTTAGCAACTAAGCTCTTAATAGACTAACTCTATTAGCATTTTTTTTTCTCGCATGTGTTTTTTTCGCATAATGATCTCTGCTTATTAATTCTCATTAGTTTAATGACTTTTAACACAAAAACAAAATTTACAAAGAAAAAATTTGTTAGTCACAAACCATGAGCAGCTTGGGTCTACCATAACTACTAGCGGTCATTTACTTTTGTATTGAATAAGAAAAGGTTCCATAAACGTTTTAAAGAATATTCGAGTGGTTAATTGATTGCGCGCAACTAATTGATTGCAGGGAAATTATATTCCGTTGAAATGATTTTTACTTCTTTTCTTCTTTGCATAATGACATGCCAATGCGATTATAGTAATTATTACTTAGTAGAAACTATGTTTGCAGCAGTTGCCTAATTTTTAAATGATAAATGACGCACTTATATAACTGTCAAATTTTATTTTTTTTTAATTTTTTTTATGGATTTTAAACGTTTACATACATCGTCGTTGTGTCTATTAAAAATCTTAGCGTATTGTCTACCCCAAGCATAAAGCGCCGGCGCATAATCCCTCACGCGCCCAAATCCAACCAGTTTTTTTGTGTTTGTACGGCTGCGCTTGCCGCTTGACCGCATGCCTTTGACAGTTGACCAGTGCGACATTGACGCTTTGTCACTGTTGTTGTTCTATATGCACATTTGTAATTTTCTCGTAGCGTCTTACAATGAAATCGTTTAAATAGCTTTTCATGCATTTTACTTAAGCCTTGACAGGTTCACACTTGTACAACGGACTTTAATCAAAATAGTTCGGCTTGTTTGAAGTCCGGTTTAAGGCACTAAGCGCATTCGTGATTTCTATTGACCAGTATTTTGTTGAAATTAAAACAATAGGAAATCGCAATGTGAAATATTCTTAAATTTTTTAAAGAAAACAAAACGTAAAAATTTCATTTAAATTCTTTGCCAACAACTTTTAGCAAACAACATTTAATGGCCAGAAGTTCGCGCATAAAAAACTTCAATTTTGCTAGAAGAAATAACAATTTTGTAAATACAGCACTTTTAATTTGCTTAATTTATTGCAACGCCTGCGCGTTTTTCAACACACCTGTCCAGCTCGTTGGATATAAAAAAAAAAAAAAATACATTCCAAATCTGTTACATCATCCCACGACGCGACTTGTCATTTCTCAAAGCTCGCGTCGTTCGTACATACGGTCTGCCGAGTCGGCTGTTTGGGTCACTTTTGATGTGGCATACACAATTTTTAGCGCGAAACCATTCAATGACTTTGGAATATTGCTATTCGCTAATACCAATATTTATAATTTTTTATGTGCGCATTTGCATAATCGAGTGACTAGAATTTTTACTATTTTTTACGCGTTTAGGTTTGCGCTTTTTATACGTTTTTCTGGTGTTGACAACCAGATTCAGTTCAATTTAAATAAGACGCAAAAAATTTAACGCGCTTAATACTAATTCTAATTCTTATACATAATATCTGCAATTTTTAAAAAATTTTAGAACGCACTAAATAGTAAATTTTGCCACTTTACTAGCAACAATGATTTTGTCTGAATGACAGTCTATAGTAAACACTCCACTAAGTTAACATTATAGTTAACAGCGTTGTAGCTTTTAATTCTTTTTTTCACATAATAATTACCCACGCAACTTTGTTGACCACCAATTTTAAGTTTAACTTATATTGTATTTTCGTTGTAAATTAAACAACTTTCACTAATTTTAACGCGGCGCAATCGCTTAAATCTACTTCATTCCTATCGACTTACGCCCACTTAAAAAGTAACTTCCAGTGGCTAAATATGTATGTATTAACGGAAGTGCATTTTCCAACCCACATCAACAGGAAAAAAAAGGTTGAAGCTATCAAGAGCTATTAAAATCATCACAACAAATATTCGGGTCAAAAACGCGCACATAGAAGCAAACAAACAGAGAAGTGAACACAAAGTCGAATAAATAAATCATGCATGCTTTGAGGCATTCCACAGCGTCACAGCCGGACAGTGGTCAGGTGTAAAATACACATGCAATTAATTTGTATACACTCAATGCACGCTCTCATAAATAGTTACAACACCGAATAAAAGATGCTGATTTATTGTATTCGCTGTCAGCTACCACAGCACACAGCACTTCCACAGCGCAAGCAAGTCTTGTAAGCTGAGGATTATCTGTTGAGTTTTGACCATAGGAACTCATGATATCATTATTCAACTGTATGTGTGTACGAATATAAATTCGAATAAAAGGCAAGTGAATATCCATTAATTTTCGTAATTTAATTTTTGTTTTTTTTCAATTTTCTACCAAAATTTAAATAATCAATTTTATTTTGCAAATGACATAAATATTTTTTCTAAGCATAATATTTTTATTTTTATTAGCACTGTACTAGCTCTATTTCTAATTGATACAATTGATTTTGAATACAGTTAATTTGATTAAAATTACTATAAAAATAAGTGTTCAAGATTAAATCCATTAAAAATTCATTAATAATTTTTAAACATTTTTATCTCTCGAAATTTGTTTTGGTAAATTGCCTTCGTGCTAAGCATTAAGGTACGATTTACATATTGAGAATTTCGCGATGGGAAGTTGGCAAAGAAGGCGATTAAAATATTAATGTTTAGTTGCTTTGATAAATAAAAATATAATATAATACATGGTAGTATATCTAATAAATAATTCCTTATATCAGCATTAGCTTTGGAGGATCACCTTTTATAAACAAAATATAGCTACATATATGGGCAGTTTCTTACAAAAGAGTGACATTGGCTGGCCACCCAGATCTCATGATTTTACTCTCCGTCATATAACTAATATTGCAGAAGCTCTCAGGAGGTAGAAGAGAAGTAGACTATTAAAAATCTGCTATGCGATCGTAAAGCTCTATATAGGAAACGAATCGCAACTATCGGTCAAAGGTTTCTTGACGACATCTCGGAGGTTGCACAGATAAATCTTTTCGTACTGATGAGCCTCATCAAAAGCACGGTGTGGTTCAGAGATAAGCCAATAGAGTGAGGGGACTTTAGTACCGGTGGTATCACAATTAGCCGTCTAAAGGTCTAGATGCGTCGTTAGGCAGCCACTCTACCTACCTACCTACTCTCTTAACCTCTCTTTGTGTTAGTTAATTGGAGAGTGAAGTGTACGCGAGCTATTTTCAGACCTTTGACATGATCAAAGCAAACATTTGTGCCAAAATCTTTCGTATACCTCCCGGGACGCAATGTGGCCAATAAAAGCTGCAACTTTATATAGATAACTTTATAACACAAGCAATTTAAAGCTCTGTACATATTACTAAAAAAAGGAAGAGCTTATCATGAATTCTATCAGCTATTCGGAAGCGGCCTAATGATTGTTGGTAAGCAACGCTTTTAAAGTACAATTAAGCGGAGAACACTGTACCGCTACGTTATATTATATTTCCGCATTTGCAGTTAATTAATTGGCTGCGGGTATTTATGTAGTATTTGTGCACCAATTATTTAATAATTCCATTTAGTTTTCAATAAATCACATTACTATTAAAAGCTCATTAATTTTACGCTGTTTGGCTTATGAGCATTGCGAGCATATTATTCACGTTTTGTGTGTATGAAAAAGAACAACATGTCGAGCATGTGTCGCAAACTTTTAGTTATTTTAGTTGTGCAAGCATTTTTCTCACACAGTGTAAGTGAAAATATTTTTGGTTAATATTGAAAATTTAAACATTTTAATTACTTTCACCAACAACAATTTATAAAGCATGCAGCTTTCTTCAAAATGACAAAATTGGAATGTAAAATTATCGATAAAACCGTACTACGGCAGAATGTGTGTCGCCTGAAGGCGGTAAAACGGGACGTTACCGAGGCGACAATTCGCATACATTTACTAAGAGAAGTTGACAATTGCAATGTAACTCAATACGAGCAATTATTTATCAGTCTGTCATGAATGCTTATTGTATTTATGCTTTTTAGTTGCACACTGAACTGCTACGCAAGTACAACACGTATCAGCCCTTCTTTATCAACAAAACTTTCGATGTTTGCGAGTTTTTGAAAACACGGAAAAATGCTGTATATTTCGACATATTATTTAAACTGATAGAGAAATACACTAATGCCAACCACACGTGTCCTTATGAGGTCGGTAGTAATATAAATTGCCTGTGGACTTAAACCTCGCTAATATTTTTATATTTTCGCTATTCTTACAGGGGGAGTTCATAGTCGAGCGCTTCAGTCCGTTTCATAACAATTTCATTCTGCCGCTTCCCACCGGTGACTACCTCATTAAATTTGGCTTTTATAACTCAAACGCGCTGATTTTCCAGTTGTTTGTGTGGTTTGGCTTTAAAGAACTGGAAAACTGGGAAAATCGCCACAAATTCTAATGGTTTCCAAAAACCCTGCATGCACCATAAGAGTTTTGTTTGGCTACCTTTGCCGGAAATGTATTAAAAAATATATATGTATACTAAATTGATCAGACCTAACCCTTGTTTAATATTATTATCTGTCATATGCTTCAGCGCATATTTTTACCAAAATCGGTCAGCTGCCACTGCCAAAATGACAGCTATGTGGGTTGCAAACTTTAGTCTTTAGATTTCACATTTTACATACAGACAACAACAACGACAGCGCCGACAAATTGCACACAACAGCCGACAAGCGAATAATCAAGAGTCATTAGAGACAGCAAACGGCAACGATAAATGCCACAGCCGTCGACGAAACAAGGCAAAATTGAAATTCCAGCTAATACGCGTAATTGCCGGCTGTGATGTTAATCGACAGCAACAATTGCCAACAACTGCCAAAAGCAGTACATAATAAAAACACCAAAAACAACAGTAATAACGAGGCGCTGACAGTTGCAGCAGTTGGCGGCTGCCGATATACACAATTGGGCGGTAGGCGAAGTGTGAGACGAGCGCTGCCAACTGCCGATCGTGTGCATCGTTGCTGTACGATAGTGGTGGAAGAGTCTTGCCGAAGGATGCGTTAGGTTTGCATGCTGAAGCGTTTCACTTCCTCGCTGCAATTTTACTGCGAGCGGCCAGATGAACGAACTGCACATCAAAGCGACCGAATAATTTGACCTAAACATGCAAAATATTGCCGTCGGTTGTAAAGAATGTCGATATGTCTATGCAGAATTATCGATTTTTCTAAAAACTATAATTAGTAAACAGCTTGAGCTATAATTATTTGATAGAGATTCAAACTCAGTGATTGCCTTACGTCGTAGGTAGCGAAGCGCTAAAGCTCGGCTTTACATACATATGTTTGTATGTACATATGTATAAACATAAATATGCAAATATTCATACATATATATCTCTACGTTCATTTATTTCAACTCCTTCATAATATATTCTCGCCTACTAACCACACATTGCTTCTCTTCCTCACTGACAACCTTTAATTAAATCTAAAATGTAGAACTGTTGAACTCAGTCTTAAGAGGCGTTTATTTGGCACATGCCGCGCATAATATTTAGTTTAATCACTCGTATCGGTTAAGTAAATACATCAGGTGCGCACCAAGAAAATTTTTTCGTGAGTTTTGCGTTATAAAAATTTAATATTTCATTCAACTGGAGAACACACGAAGTATTTTTAGCGCCGTATGCTTTTAAGTAGCAGTTATATAACTTTTAACGTATAAATTTAATACTTAATACTTAACTATAGAAATACATATTTATATTTATTCATACCACCACTATTTATTCGTAAAAAAGAGAAATATATTTTCGACCACGTGCCAAAAAAAAGTGTTCTTTAATATAATATAATTCTTTTACGGGGTTAGCACTTCTTTCTTTCTTGTGTTGTGTGTGTCACTCGCTGATCTTCGAATGATTTTTCTAAAACTCTTTCCACCACAGGAGTTACATTAGTGAAGAGATAATGAAGTGCTAAGCCCCTCAAACGTTCTTGTAATAACTTCGAATACAGATTCTCCATCGACAATATATTCAAAATCGCAAATTTTTTACGAAAAATTCTAAGTTGCTAAAGAAATTATTTATTTGGATCGTCGCGTTTATTATTGTAACAGTTATATATCAAATATTTTCCTCCAGCGCTTTGAATTCAAAATTTGCAAACAAACCCCAAAAACCCCTTTGCTCCGCACGCCTGTGAAAATAGTTGTGTGTATGTGAGTCGAGTATGTGGGCGGTCTTGGCAGTTCAGAGTAGTAATTTTCCAATAATTTCATATAATTTATAACTGGGTTGTGAAGTGATTGTGTGATAGTAAAACTAAAAACAAACTACATATATGTAAAATGGAATTTATTAAAACTATAAACACGTCGAGATTTTGTACCGGAAGTCAGCTAATTCTTCTTAAATTATTTATTTTTAACACCGTTTGTTTGTTTATAGAATGTCTTGATAAAAATTCATATTATCTAACTATAAAATCACAGCAAATGCATGTTATCTAACGCTCAACAATGGCTGAGCTCTGCCAATAACGCCGGAGTTCAAAATCTCTGGATCACTGCACAGTCCACACATTGTCACATTGCACGAATGACCTAAATACCAGGCGGCAAGGCTGCAAACATGGCCTGTACTGCATTGTATTGCCTTCAACCGCGTTGCCAGAGTAGAAAATAAAATGAAAATCTCGTGTGTGGAAGCGAGAAAGCAAGAAGGACGACCACTTACCGAACACAAATGACCAAAAGACGACATTTCACATTTGTTGCGTTAGATGGATAGTTGTGCGGGTTGTAAGTAGCAACAAAGCAACAACAATGTACACGCTTAGCAGCAACAATGTAATACCACATTTCTACGGACAATGTACGAAATTGGCAAGTTGTTGAGAAAGCAGCGCAACAAGCGCGAAGAAATGTTGCCGATAAAAAACTAAGCAGTGGCGAGTCATAAGCGACTGCTGTGGACACTTACAGTTAGCATATACATATCATAGAGACAACAATATAAACCATTTAAGAAAACAATGTTGCTGTGGGTTTTTACGATGATTAGTTGCAAAACGAAATGTTTGAAGTATTAATAGTAGATAGATAAATATTATATTGCTGCGTAGAAATAAATATTTGTTGCTTGTAATCGACAGTTTTGAAAAGCTTTTTGGTACTTACATGTTTGGTGTCGTTTGTATTTGCTATTGTTGCAGCAAAAGGTGCAATTCAATGGAGACGATATTGCTGCAATATTTGCTGCTGTGGATGTGAAATTCGTTCTTGCTTTTGTTCAATTGTTATCAGCGATTCCAGCTGCTCTTTTGTGCCGCCTGACATACAATACTATTTATTATTTCAACTGAAGCGGCGGTGACAACAATTACTTAATTAATGTTCTTATTTCTCCTTTTTTTTAATTGTTGTAATTATCTTCGCTCGTTTTTTGTTTGTTTTTGTTGTATTTCAGCTATCATTTATAACACTTTCGCCACCACTGTTGCTTATATAAATATACTACACACTTTACACAGAAAATAGGAATATCAATATTCTCCCAGCCACTTTGTTGGTTAACTTGACTTATTTTTTTTTTTGTAATTTTTTACTTCATTTTCAATTAGCTTGTTATTTCAATTTTCCGCCGCTTTAATTGCCAGCAATCAGCATCATCTGCAAGAAATATCACCAGCGACATAAACAAAAATTCGCTGCAGCTTAATTAGCACCAACGGAGCGATGGATGGATGGCGACCTAGCCGCGCCGACAACCGCCAAACGACGACCGATGCAGGCAAACACTGCCGCAAGTTAAAACAACAACAACACGCGCATAAACTACAATACACAATAAATATAAATAACTGTATATATTTTGTGCCAACAGCGCAAATTTCGCGATTGCCACAGTCGGGAGTCCAAAAACGCTGGGATAACGGCGTTGTGCTGAGGATTGCGTTTTCAATTGTGGTATACTGTTGTTGTTGGCGACGGTGCTTATGTATGCCTGTCGGCTAAACGGCGACTATCAGCGGCTGTCAATTCGGCTGGAAACTTTAAAAGGGTGCAGTCACAGTGGCGATATCCAATAAAAGTTTTTTTTTTGCTATATGTTGTTGCTTGCGTTCCTTTTTGTTCGTTGTCTTGTTGCAAGTGCTGGTGTGAATGTTGTCACTCTGCGCAGGCCGCTAATGAATTTTGTTGTATAAATTGTTGTTTCCTTGTTGCCGCCGCCGATTTTGTAGCAGATACTTTGTTTGTCAATCCTTTATCGCTTGCCGCACGTTGCACGTTGCTTGCTCACAGCTCATTTCATTGTGCATTCACGTTTTATCGCGGCACATGCTGTTGCCCGCCGTCAAACGTTGCTTCGCAACAAAAAATGCTGTCTTCCCTATGTTGTTGGCAATGTTGTTGTTGTTGTTGCCAATGTTGTTGTTGTTGTTGCCAAGTCTTTTCTTGTTTTTATTTCTCTCGAATTGACTCACTGCAACTTTTTCGCAAGCGGTTGTTAACGATCTGCAATGTACACTTGCCGTTTTTTGTTTGTGTTGTTGTATTGCGTTCTCTCCTTTTCTTTGCTTTTGTTTTATTGTTTTTTTTTAGTATTCGCGCACGTTGCTCACACTCGTTGCATGTTAATTAGTCGGCTGTTGGCAACACTTTGTTGTTGTTGTGTTGTTGGCGTGTTGTCTTACTGCTGCTGCGCTGGTTAATGTTGTTAGTCTTGTTGTTGTGCTGTAAATAGAAATCAAAGTGTTTTTTGTTTACTCAACTCGACATAAAGGTCGCCTTCAAGATTTGCAATTCAATTTCAATTTCAGTGTTTTGTTTAGTGTTGGTTGTTGTTGTAGCTATGTTGCAGCAAAGTGTTCAATTGTTTACATGATCGCTCTAGCACGATAATTTATTCATGTTGCTGGCAACAATGTCTGCAAAGCATAACAATTAAGCCAGCAAACGAAAGTAATTTGCGCTTTGTTTGAGTTAGAAAACTTACTTCGATATGAAAGTTATTTATATCAAACAACGGGGCTAGAAAGGACCAGCAAAAGCTTTTCCATTGAATGCAAATCGTTGACCAGTTGCGTTTTCAGATTTAGTTATACATATAGTTGCTATAAAAAAGGCATAAAAGCTTCGCTGCTGCCGAAGTTCATGTTTTTTTTTGTTTGTTAGAATTTTCGAGCATTTTTCTTTTTTACTAACTCGTTTTACTTACATACATATTTGGAGCCATCAAGCTACAAATAATTTCTTTAATTATTATTTATGTACAGTTATTTTTCTAAAATAAAAGCATAACGCGTTTGCACGTCGACATCTTTTCAATCGTAATACCCAAAAATAAAGCAATAAATTAACAAGGTACTTGGACAATGCCAAAGGCAAGTGGAAATTTCCTTATTGAGGAAGAATTAAGTTCCAAATTTTTTGCATAATTATATGAATGGTAATATGTGTATGACGTATAGGTATACCGTAACACAATACCGAACCAAATATTAATTTCAGATTTTACTGGAAATCGACGCATAAAGAGAGCATCCATATAATTTTGGAGACTGTTTCTATTTCACTTAGATTTCAGTGTTAATTTCTAGGCGAGCTCACGTTTTGCTTTAAGCAAACACTGTGAAATATAGCAGAGACGTGAGAATTTGTTGATTCACACATTTGCAAATGCTTTTAAATAATATGTAAAAGAAATTTCTATATATTTGCTCTGCTATACATACATACAATAGTTCTAAACTTAAAAAGGTTCAGCACTCACACATTCATAATTAAAAACTGCAAAATAAAAAAAATAATAATTTAATCATTTTTTCAAGTCACCAAGAAATTTTTTGTCGCGCACTTTTTTTGCAAACTTTCTACCAAGCTGTTTGTAGCTGGGCGAGTAAAGTGTCTTTTATCTAAAACGCGGTGCGATTTTCTAAACAGTGCCACAATCATTTGTGTATATAAGTATAAGTAGATATAGAGTACAATGTGTACATAACATAGTTTGCGTATTTTTATCTAATTAAAAGCAACAATAACAAACCAAGCATTATTGTCTACAGATACAAGCAAGATTAGCAGCTGAAACCACAGAAACTAATTAGCGAAAAAAATTGGCTAAAGTAAGCCGATGCTATTGAATCAATAGCAACCAAATAAACAACAAATACAAAAACAATTAGTGCGACAAAAAAGCAACCGCAGCAATTATAAATGTAAACTCAATAAATGACATAAATGTTAGACATTACGGTATTAACCAAAAACAAACCAGCCGCTAACATTAAAAGCAACAACTGCGTAAATAAAGAATTGCCAATTTGGTAGATGCAAAGCACATTTCAATTAGAAAAAATAATAAACAAAACATTGAAAGTCTAAAGAGTGACGGCAACGACACCAATAGGTAATATTAACGAATATCAAATGCCACTTAGGGATTCCAGTTACACCTGCGCGGCTTGAGAAAAAAAGCTGCAGCACTGTTGGTTTTTTCTGTTAGCAACATTTTGGTTTTATTGCAACTAAACATTTTCATTAGTCGGAGCTGGCTGCCATTAAAATGCATTTTAAGTGTCACAACAACAAAAACAACAGCAGTACTGGTAGTATTTGGCTGCTTGGAAATATACTCTTTGGCGAGAAAAACTGTTTACCCCACAAACTATATACATATGTATGTATGTACATACATAAAGCTACGTAGATCATTAGCCAAAGCACTTGTCTGAAACTGGGTTTGCCAAAAAAAAAGTTAAAATAAATAAAAACTGCGCCGAAATGTCTCGAAAAATATTTTCCCACAGCCTAAAATGCGTGCATTGCACAAAAACAAAATATACACATTAAAATGCATTTTATTACTATATTTTTCACGGCTTCGAGTTTTGATTTTGATTTTAAAAATTGCAGAAAATCATAAATCGAAGTTAATTTTATTCAATTAATACTTACAAGGCCGTCGATACAACAACAAAAATTATAATTAATAAAAATTTATGCCAGTATTGATACATTTTAAAAATTGCTTAGCATTTTTTAATATTCATTAATAAAATAACATTTATAAGTGATATTTAGCTGCTCAACGGAGTTTTGATGCATCTTAAAATTTTATAGTAAATGCGTATTAAAAATAAAAATGAAAACACGTTGGGAGTCTTCCATTTAATTTTTTAAAGATTGCATTAAAATACATGAAAATGTAGTTTGTTTTTGTCAGTCCGTGTCAAATTTGATCAGATGGTAGTATTATTAAAAAATTTTACTACTTTTACTTTTTGCAAGAGAAAGTTTTTTTTAGAATTTGCTTTTTTAACACTACAAAGTATTGCACGTATAAGTATAATTCACACGAAAAATCGAATATAAAATTCTCAAATTTCATGCATAATTTTCGGAACTATTTATGTGCATAGTTAAGTCCCTTTGATATTAGAAATAATATTTAACTGTACAAACACCTTTTATGTTATGTTTTTTGAAACGAATTTTGTATATTTGCAACTCAGTAATACATAATTTTCTTTCACCTTTGGCATAAATAAATTTTAGATACACGCAAATATTAGACACATATTTTCAATACACTTCTTCGACAATTATTCGACACATTTTCCGTTCACAACGCTGTTGCAAGCGCAACGACTGCAGGCAGACTGTTTTCTGCAGCACAAAACTCCGGTGAATGCAACAGCTGCCACCTTCAACTCTAACCAGTTGCTGCTATTGTTGTTATTGCTAGTAGCAGCGACAGCGGCAGCTGAGATGCAATGCCAAGCTACACAATAACAGAAGCAGCACGCTTAGCAAAGCAGCTGTCACAGCCGGAGAGCAATAAATAGGATGTTTAGATGCACCGCCAGCACGTCAATGACAACAAAAACAATAGCAATAGCACATAACTGATCGAAGCGGTGCACAATTAGAACCATGCGAAATTTGAAAGAAGCAATGTATCACAAATTCTCAACCTTTGCAGCTTGTGTAGCGTACTTGTGTGTGTGTGTGTGTGTGCTAGCTTTTGTTTATTATGAAGCGCCAACAACAACAATACTAAGCCATAAAACGATTTTTAGTAAAATGTTGCACCTTTTTAACTTCTTGCGTCGCTATGTACACATGCACCCACCTCACAGCATTGCAGCAAAACAACAACAAACACAAGTCTTCCCAATATGCGCTGTCTATAAACACTTTACGCATACATTTCTATGTATTTGTATGTATGTTGTACGGTTATAGTAAATCACTTATTGTAACTCCGACGCTGCTTAATGCTCACTGCGAAACACGTAGAATATTCGTCGACGGCTCATCAATGACTGAAGCAACGAGCGTGCCCCCTCGCTAAGGTAAACAAAAGTCTCGGCTGCTCGCTTGTATTTATGCACACTTGTGCCGCCGTTCAGACACATGAATGAACATACACACTATGTGTGTGTGTTTAGGCGCACAATAGCTAAAACGTTTTGTTTTTTGCATAAGGTGGTGTTAGTAGTGGTGAAGGTGAATTCTTAACCCTCTGCTGACTGTGTTAAGAAAACGCTATATATTTCCAAATTATATTCAAGTATTTAAAAACACAGTTGCCTCTAATGGGTTAAGGCGTGTATACTAGTACGTGCATATTTGATCTTGACTTTATTTTTATCGTTGCTGTACTACTGGTATAAACTTTTATGCGCCTACATCAGAGAACGTTTAATCAGAGCACGTAAAGGAACGAAAATGGTTAGGTTCAATAGCGAACATTTGAAAATTTTCAACCTGGGAATTTACCTCATAACAAACGAATTCACCCCGTGAAATATTAACATTGTTTTGATTTTTGGAAGTATGGAATCTGTAGTTTATAGCTTTGCTAACATGATCAATCAGGCAATTTTAATAAGTGACTCTCGCACCTCGATGTGATGTTATTTAAAAGGCATGAGGTGACTTCACGAGGAGTTGGCTGCCAGCTGGCTCTATATAAGTACAGCAGGCACAGTGCCTGGCCAGTGCTTAGGTGACTCTCGCGCCGCGATGTGATGTAGTTTTAAAGTTATGAGGTGACCTTAAGGGATGCTGGGTGCCAGCTGGCTCTATATAAGTAAAGCAGGCACAGTGCCTGGCTAGTGCTTAGGTACCTCTCGCGCCGCAATGTGATGTAGTTTTAAAGTCATGAGGTGACCTTATGGGATGCTGGGTGCCAGCTGGCTCTATATAAGTAAAGCAGGCACAGTGCCTGGCTGAATAGCAGGTGACTATCGCGCCGCGATGTGATATGGATTTTAAAGTCGTGGGTGACCATGGGATGACTGAGGTGCCATGGCTCTATAAAAAGTAAAGCAGGCACAGTGCCCGGCCGGTGCTTAGGTGACTCTCGCGCCGCGATGTGATGTAGTTTTAAAGTCGTGAGGTGACCTTATGGGATGCTGGGTGCCAGCTGGCTCTATATAAGTAAAGCAGGCACAGTGCCTGGCCAGTGCTTAGGTGACTCTCGCGCCGCGAGTGCGATTGGTTTTAAGTCGTGGTGACCTTATGGGATGCTGGGTGTTCAGCTGGCTCTATAAGTAAAGCAGGCACAGTGCCTGGCCAGTGTCAGGTGACTCTGCGCCGCGATGGTATGTAGTTTTAAAGTTATGAGGTGACCTTATGGGATGCTGGGTGCCAGCTGTCTATATAAGTAAAGCAGGCTGGTGCCTGGTGAGTGCAGGTACACTCTCGCGCCGCATGATGTAGTTTTAAAGTCAGAGGTGACCTTATGGGATGCTGGGTGCCAGCTGCTATATAAGTGAAAGCAGGCACAGTGCCTGGCCAGTGCCTAGGTGACTATCGCGCCGCGATGTGATGTAGTTTTAAAGTCGTGAGGTGACCTTATGGGATGCTGGGTGCCAGCTGGCTCTATATAAAGTAAAGCAGGCACAGTGCCGGCCAGTGCTTCGGTGACTCTCGCGATGTGATGTAGTTTAAAGTCGTGAGGTGACCTTATGGGATGCTGGGTGCCAGCTGGCTCTATATAAGTAAAGCAGGCACAGTTCCTGGCTAGTGCTTAGGTGACTCTCGCGCTGCGATGTGATTAGTTTAAGTCGCTGAGGTGACGCTTATGGGCTGCTGGGTGCAGCTGGCTCTATATAGTAAAGCAGGCACAGTGCGGCCAGGCTGTAGGTGACTCTCGCGCGCGATGTGATGTAGTTTAAAGTCATGAGGTGACTATGTGGATGCTGGGTGCCAGCTGGCTCTATATGAATAAAGCGGCACGAGTGCTGTGGTGCTTGGTGACTATCGCGCCGCGATGTGATGGGATTTAAAGTCATTGATGGTGACCTTATGGGTGTCTGGGTGCCCGGCTAACATATAAAAAGGGCAGTGCGCTGCGCCCGGTGCTTGGTGACTCGTCGCCGCGATGTGATGTATTTTAAGGTCTTGGTGGGTACCTTGTATGGATTAGCTGGGTGCCAGCTGGCTCTTATAGCTAATAACAGGCACAGTTCCGAACTGGTGCTTAGGTGACTCTCACCTGCGATGTGATATAGTTTAAAGTCGTGAGGTGACCTTATATGGGATGCTGGGTGCCAACTGGCTCTATAAGAGTAAAGCAGGCACAGTGCCTGGCCGGTATAGGTGACTCTCGCGCCGCGATGTGATGTAGTTTAAGTCGTGGGTGACCTTATGGGATGCTGGGTGCCAGACTGGCTCTATATAGTAAAGCAGGCACAGTGCCTGGCCAGTGTAATGACTCATCACGCCGCGATGTGATAATATTTTAAATCATGAGGTGACCTTATGGGATGCTGGGTGCCAGCTGGCTCTATATAGTAAAAGCAAGGCACGTGCCTGGCTAGTGCTTAGGTGACTCTCGCGCCGCAATGTGATGTAGTTTTAAAGTTTTGAGGTGACCTCACGAGAAGCTGACTGCCCAGCAGGTACCGGGTGTTTTACATGTTTCTATGTTTCATGTAGTGGCGAATATGTTAGAAAATGGTGAATTCCTTACGCGGTGTTTTTAAGTTCTGTTAGCCGTCCATTCGAGCAGCATACAACATTCGATTTGCACATTCTCTGTATTTTACGTTCTCTGCCTACTTCGACCACCGGCAGCTAATATAAACTCTCTCCCTCGCTCTCTTTCGGCCAGTTCGTAAATGTTGCTACAAACAATGTTGTTAGCAACATTTGAATGTTGAAAATTACTTTTCGGCTGTCTGCGCCAGCAAAATACACCATAACAGTTAAAACATGTGTTTTAAAACGCATTTCCTCGTAAAATATCGTGCCTGTTTTTTATTATTAGGTTTTTAGATGCATGCACCACCTTTAAATTCATTTATGCACACCCCGCTCAACTAATTAACACACACAAAAAGTCGGGAAAAATCGACAGAGTTCAAATCAACATCTTCATAGCCGGCATTGGTGTTGGCACATAGTAGCTCAAGATACAGGTAAACGCTACGGGTTTTCATTTCAAATTACGCCACAGGGCGACGTACGCCCGCGGTGAGAAGGTCATCAGTGGTACAGCGCAGACGTCGTACATCAACAGACCGACGCAGCCATTCAGAAAAGATATGAAAACTACGAGACAGTTGAAAAGTGACTACGAAATCGGAAAGTGGTGTCTAGCGCGCAGCATTGGACACCCTCTGGCTCGTTGTGGGGCAAAAGGCGCAGTACGTGCTCACTTAAATGACCGCCGTATGCCTTCAAGTGTATATTTGGTTCTTTTTTCTCAACTGTTCAGGCCGTATGCGGCAATCGTGGCAGCTGTGTACAAAGATGCTAATGTGCAGTGTAATTCAATACTCTGACGATGGCAGCGGACGCGGGAGAGCAGGCGCATAACCAAAGAGTTCAACAAAAGGGTTCAATTAATGGCGTGCAAGCGTTTTGTTTTTGAATTTTTTGTTTTGTTTTTTTGTAATTTCATTACCTGTTTGTTATTATTTTTGTAAATTCGTCTCTGAAAGTTCTTATAATGCTGACCAGCGTTTTGGTGGCAGTCGCATGCGCAGCAATTCTTGTGTGCAATTTATATTAACAACCACATAAACTACTCACTTTTCTTGTTGCTGCCTCCAACATTTTGCTCTTTGAAATTGCTTCCAAATTTTTTCTGAACCCGTCTTATAAGCGCGTGTGCGTGCCGTGGAGTATTTATTTTACCTTGTTTCACGTTTCAGTTTGTTTAGCCCAAAGTGAAAGGATGCAGTGTATACAAATGCGAGATGATAAGGATGCATCAGCATTTTACTTGATTGGTTTGTTTGTTTTGTTTTCGTATTTGTGTATTTTTTGTTGTGTTTGTGTTGAGTTGGCCCGAAGGTGACGTGTAGGAGCGCGTCAAGTCAAGTCAAGCAAACTACTTAAGTTCATAAATCAGTCGCGTTGTCAGAGTTGTGCATAAGCAGTTGCTCCACTTATACTCTTTTGGTGGTCCATGTTTGTAAATAACTGTAGTAGATTAGCGCAAGTAGACTTGCATACGCGCTTCAGAGCAACCGAAAGGATTATGTTGTACGAAATTGGATTAACTGATAATTGTTGGGGTAAATATTTACACGAATTACTCAGAATATAAGGAAAGCCTTCTTAGAAATAACAAAGAACAGACAGATGAAACACGTTCAATTTGAAAATTCCTAATTAGAATTTATGAATCGGAAAATCTCTTGGCAAATATTTGAAAAAACACTCGTACTTATTTCAATATGCTATTAAAGCTAAAGCAATATTGTAACAAGTTATTACTCCTAGCTTCATACAAATATTTTGCATCAAATAAAGAAATCACGATTTTGGAAATCATAAAAATTGCATTAATTCAATATTCATGCTCATATATATCTATATACATACATATACTCGTATAGACACTAGTAGTCATTTTAGAATGTGCTACGGTGTCTCAATAGATATTTTCTCAGAACTTCTTCGTCTTAGCGCGTCTGAAGGCCATAGAAGAGAAGAAGCTCCTCTACAACAATGGCAAAACCAGCCGAATGCCAAAAACATATTGTACAAAGTAAACGCATAGGCATGCGCATCGCTTTGTTAGAACAAGTATTCGAAGACCAGCCGTGCCGTTACGCCCACAACGATTTGTGTGGCGGCGCTGGTGCTGATGCTTACGGCTGCGCCAACAACACTGGTATGCGAGTTTATAACAACGACACGAAATGGCAATTTGTTAAAATTTTATTGCAGAAAATGTGAAAACGCGCAGCACCAAAGCTTAAGACACAGCCACACATGCGCACATCCATATTATATATGTACATATATAGATAGACATATGTTAGATAGTGAAGCTCGTCTGAGCGACGATCCGAAAGCGCAATTTCATTTAACCAACAACGCAAACAATGCGAATAAAGCGCTGCGTTGTTGTCGTAGTTGCTGTTGTTATACTCTTGCAACATGTTCCTACACAGTATAGTAGTTTTATTCACTTATCAGTTGTATACAGCTAAAACTGATCGAGATAGATATAGGATTAGATATATATTGTAATATTATATAAGAATAATCAGGATGACGAAACGACTTGAATTCCGGTTATCTGACTGTCCGTCCGTCTGTATGTCTGTATATACACAAACATGTCCCACAGTGTATGGATCCGAAATTTTTCACACGTCCCTTTCCCCTCAATAAGCAAAGAGTTCATTGACCTCGAAAAAAGGTAAACAAACAGGTCATTGTCCTAATAATGTAAACAAAGGAGTCATTGACCGCATAAAATGTAAACAAAAGGGTCACTGAACCCAAATGTAAACAAAGGTTGTTGTCTTGGCTAAATTTAAAAATAGGTTGTGGACTTGGCTAAATGTAAACAAAGGGTCATTGAACTCATAAAATGTAAACAAAGGGTTCATTGACCTCGGAAAAAGGTAAACAAACAGGTCATTGTCCTCATAATGTAAACAAAGGAGTCATTGACCGCATAAAATGTAAACAAAAGGGTCACTGAACCCAAATGTAAATAAAGGTTGTGGACTTAGGTAAATGTAAACAAAAGGGCATTGAACTCGTAAAATGCAAACATAAAAGTCTTTCTATACCCTTTGTGCTAAAATAAACACTTCTGTGAAGAGTATTAAAGCTTCGGTGCAGCTGAAGTTAATGTGTTTTCAAATTTAATATAAAGTTTTGCCACACCTGAAGGTATTTTCCCTGCTTCGATCCTTCCAAGTGGCAAAAGTATAAATTGTTGGGTTCACCCGAACATAGCTCTTCCGTACTTTTAATTGTTTGCAGAAGCAGGAAACCAAAAGAATTTCGCACATTGTGCCGCACGGCTTGGCAGTGATAGTTTTCGAATGTAGTGGCAATTAACCCGCCGCGTGAGTGTAGGTCAAGTTGCCGCCACTCGACACGCGGCACTCGCTGCGCAGATACACACACTCGCGGGCACAAGCTAGCACAATGAAGAGGAAGAGTGCGATCGCGACATGCGAATCGTTTCTTTATTATTATTATCAGCAGCAACCAAACATTATTTTCGCGCACATTTTTATATTTCGGTTTTTTTTTTGAGCATTTTTGTGGCGATTATAATTGCCATGCAGTAGCACGGCAGCGGCGGCTTACAAATGAAATGTGGCAGCAGACAGTCGCTGAGTAGCCATTAGTTGAGTCGATGTCTTGTTGTTGACTGGCGTGTTGTTGTTGTGAATGGCGTTTACCAAAGTCGTTAGCCAAGTTAACAAGACAACGCTGCGTTGTTAATACTAAAGCTGAAGGCTTTTTGTTGCCATCGCAATTGATTTTACTGTTGCTTTTAATGCTCTTTACACCACCGGGTCACCACGAAGCACTGCGACTGCGCAGATTCTGAAGCCTTTGTCACACTTCATTTCACTTCCTCCATAAGTTAACTGCTTTATTGTGTTCAGGTGAAAGAGCAATTGTGCAGACCTTAATCTGGCGAAATGGGTGACAAACGCAACATGTTGCACCAAGCAGTGCCATAAAAGAAACGGTATAAATATGTGTATGTTTGTATTTAAGCACTTGGATACATGCATATTTAAGCTTAACATATTCACTACTACTTTTTAAATCTAAGAAAGCAAATTTCAAAGAAAAGTCTATCCAAAAATCGGTTTTGTATATTTTTTAGAAAAAACACTGAGAATCAAAATTTTTTTTAACCAAATTGTCTCATTTGCAAATGCATACCTTTCAAAAATATTGGTTTTGTAGTTTTTTTAGAATGCAAAATTTTTTCCAAATTTTAGATCTAAGAGTATACCATATACAGTACCCAGTAACAATTTGATACTTCAACTTTAAAATTCCTCTCAATTCATTACTATCCTCTTCATATGACTGCAATGCGCCAAAGTAGCGGTTTTCTTCACCACTCCGTTAGCATAAATGTCAATATATCAAAACATTTGCAACGTTTTATTAAATAAATCATCATTTTCAACAACAACAATGTCTATATTGAAGACAACATTCATTCATTAGCCTATCCACACGCCAATCTGACTCGCATGCACCTCTTGGTTGCATGTGCAACGCAGTGACATTCGCATGCAGCCACTCACAACAACACCGCTTCGAGCTCCGAGCATCGTATTCAAGCTGTTATCACGCGCATTGCCGCCAAATGGCTGTCACCAGTTTATATGCCTTTGCAACTCTCGCAGCCATGTGGCTGTGTAGGTGTGCATGTGCTGGTATCTATTGGAAGCGCATGCTTCAGCGCGTCGTCGCCATTAGCCGCACAGTTCCTGCATTGACATTTCAGATTGTGCGCCAAAGCGAAGCGTTAATGCGTTGTTATGCGCTAACGAAGTTGACATTTTGACATATGAACGCGTAGCATGAAATTGTTGGCGATATTCTCGCATGTTTCATTTAAGCTCTTCACTTTGTTGCTGCCTCACATGCAGCGCCACCTTCACGTTCAACATGTTGCAGCTGCAGTTTCCACTCTCTGGGTAAGAATTTAAAATAACTGGTTCACTACTTGTAGAAATCAGCGCAGACATACAATCCGGCGTGTCAAGAAATACATAAACGCAAATATTTCAGCGATAAAAAGTACTTAGCAATAAATTCTTTCAGCCGATCAACGCTGATTGATGTGACATTTGGTTGCTGCGGTGGCGTTGGCGGCCTGACAGTAGGGCAGTGCACATTCGCGATTCAATTTGCGGTTGCATATTTGTTTTGAAAACTCTCGAGCTACCAAATGTAGTCACGCAGCGACTTCGGAATTGTGCACACGCATTTTCAATTTTCAATAGGAACTTTTTTGCACGAATACATTTTTCAATCTTAAATCATAAAAGCGAAATTGTTTCGATATATAATGCTTCCACTAAAATGCAACTGTTGAAGGTTGTGTGAAGTGTCAACTGTTACCTTTTACTTAACTTTTTTCTGGTACAGAGCTAATTGTAGTACGAAGCATTTAAAAGCGTTAGTTGACGAAGAGAGACTATAATAGTATGGGCTGTAATATGGCTGCACTAACGAAGTGACCGAATGATGCCTTCATATTGATTAATAGTTCAATACATATTTATAACTGTTCTTCGAAAATGGATCGCTTTTCTCAATTTTTCAAAATCTTTCCATTTGCGATACTTGCCGTAAAAGAAAACTAATTTATTTTTATAGCAGGTATATTTTTATATTTTTTCCGTACTAGAAAACTTCAAACACCTTTTCTTATCTTATCGTGCATATACGAGTAATCGTTCAATATGCAAGTGAAGACGAATAATAAAAATTAGTTTATGTAAACTAGTGTAATAAGTATGAACCATACGTTTTGAATTAGAAAATCACCCATTATAACAGTGTATTCCATACAATAAGACAGAATTGAAGTTCTTAAACAAAACATTAAATAATTAAATAATTAAGTAAGCAAATTAAGTTAATGTACAACAATACTCATGCTAAACTAGCGCTAATACAAAAGTAAAAAATGAGTTAATTCCACTATATTTTACTAAAGCCAACATTAAACTAATGTCTCTTATCAGTGGTGTTATTTAGTTGGTTTTTCGAACTTTATAGTTTCGCCTTAACTAATGAACTTGACTCAACGGTGGTTTGTTGCGGCGCCACTTTTTCGCCACACTTTTTGCTCTCCTCCAGCCACTGCTCCTCGGTCAGCAAATTTCCAGCCGCGAAAATATTTTTCGGGTCGAGTTGTCTTTTCGCCGCCAGATACAGTGCACTGCCGGATTTGGAAACAATACTCTGGTACCATTTGCTGCGTATTTTACCAACACCATGGTGATGTGACAGCGAGCCGCCCGAGGCGAGTATCTCGTCGCGCGCACTCATCTCAATCTGTTCGAATGTGTCGACAGGATCGGCAATGCCGGTATGCCTAAAGCCGAAGTAGAAGTAAACGCAGGCGCCAGCATCATAGGTCTGTGTTACGCGACAGGATATGATGACGTTTTTAATACTACGCTTGTGACATTCCTAAAATACACAGACAGATAGTTAAGGGCTTTCGTTAATTGAGTCAACATTTTGAGAGCAGAAGCAAAACAGGAAGTGTCAAGCTGTTTACTATGTACACAAAATGACGTTTTATACTCTCACAGCAATGTTAAACAAGAAGTAATTATACCAATGATAAACAACTCACCGCTTCCAAACGGCGTTTTACATTCCGACACAACGTACTGCAGCGGTCCCATGGCACAGATGTCTCAAAGGACTCTGCAACGATTTCTTGCTTCAATGCGAAATCCTGCAGTGGAGTAGAAATAAATAATATTACAAATAGTATTGGATTTCTTTTGTTTCTCTCACTCACCCTTATGTACGCTATGACGAATGTTAGTATGTAGCCACGTTCGCCATTTTCACCACCTGCCGGAAATCCTTTAAACTGCTTAGCAATCTGATAAATGAGCGCCTCCTCTCGTCGCACATCTTCCTCATTACCCTCAAATAACAAAGTTGCCGCACACATTTTCGTTAAATCCAATCCCTTCCAAGTCGTGATGTAGGTTTTCTTCAATGAATCAACCAAACCAGCCAACCATCCTCTTACTGGCTTCAGTGTTTGCCCCATAATGAATTGTTCGTTATCCATTAGCCGTACTGATGCCGGTTGGCAGCGGCGGCGAGCAACTTCTCGCATAAATTGCACACCGCTCTCGAAATCGGGAAAAACGAGTGAGCCATAACGTTTAACGGCGGGTAGTGGTCGCACTTTCAGTACCACCTCAGTTACCACGCCCAGTGTGCCCTCGGAGCCCATTATCACATGGTTGAAATCCGGACCGCATGATACACGCGGCGCCATGCACTCACGCTCCAGCACCTCACCAGACGCGGTAACCATACGCACACGCACCACCAAATCCTCAATATTGCCATAGACGTTCTTCTTCATGCCGGAGGCGCGTGTCGCCACCCAACCACCGAGTGTGGAGAACTCATAACTGTCCGGTTCATGACCCACCGTCAATCCGAGCTTATGCAATTCACGCTCCAAATCCTGTCCCACAATGCCCGCCTCAAAGCACACAGTCAAATTAGCTTTGTTCAGCCACAGCATGCCATTCATCTGTGACGTATCCAACACGCAGATCATACGTTGCTCACCTTGCGGACATGTAATTGAGCCAGAGACAGAGGTGCCACCGCCATAAGGTATAATCACAACATTATACTTATTGGCGAGCGCCACAAGCCGCACCACATCCTCATGACTGTGCGGCCAGACGACTATGTCGGGAATACGTTTAAATTCATTGCGCCAAAGATTGTAGATATCATGCAGCGTCTGGCCGTGACAACGAATGAGACGATCCTCACCAGACTGCGAGCTTGTCAGCTTTGTCGCCTCGAGTTCACGCAAGAAGGGCGCATTCACGGTGGGAGCTGGAAACTCGGTAGGCATTTTCGGAGACGGTATATTTTTCTCGATACGTAAATTGAATTTACCGTAAACCCATTCGGTGAAGTAGGGCAACATGCAGCCTTCAAGTGGATATCTGAAAAGACGAATAGCTACAATATAGATATCACTCCACTCATAGGTACGTCTTATTGTTTGAATGTATGTATCGGAGTACTTTATTGTCAGCAGGAAGAATTGGAGACTACATTGAGTACGACTCAGCTACTTCCACGCCGGCTCAATGATTCATTCGGACGCTAAATTAGCGATGTCACAGGAAATACCCAATATTGCCGTTAAACTAACTCGCTGACAATTTGTAGCTACTAAACTCTGGCTAATACTAGTTCAGCATAAACAAAGCACTTGCTTACATATTTACATACAAACAATTAAGTCATTACGTAGACTAAAAGAGCAAACACTACAGAAAACGTGTCTACACAAGCGCGTAGACACACACACACAACCACGAGGTTAATACATACTTGTCACCCTTGAAGCCGATGATGCCATTGTCCACAAAGAACTGTGAATCTTTGTAGCCCCAGCCGTACCACTTCAGCACGTCCTGACTGCAGCGACCCGGGAACAATATAGATATGTATTTTTAATTAAAAAAATCAGCAATAAATAAATTTTTTTTTAAGTTTCTTCAGTACTTACCGTCTCTGCGGATACACACCCTGCACTTGCCGCGAGAAGCGCTTATCCAGCAGCACAGTGGCGGGCGCAGCGACCGGTCCGTTGGCGTCGCCGAGTTTACCGCTGCAGTTGTTATTTCTGCATTCATCGGCGCTGTGACTACCGCAGCGGGGGGCTTGAGGCAGCGGTTTGAAGCGTATATTTTCTGTCTCCATTCTTAATTATAACACAGTTTTGGTATAGTTTCCGAAATTCCGCTATTAAAATGCAATTGGCTTGTGTTTACGTGCGTCTCTTTGTTTTTGTGTGCGCGTATGTGTGAAAAGTATGTATTTTTAAAAAGCTTCGCCGCCTTGCGCGCACTTTGTCCGTGTCTTGCTCACGCACAAAAATCGATTTTTTTCAAACTCTCGCCCAATAATCTTTTAGTCTGCGGGTTTCACGTGTTTTTCCTACTTTTTGATATATTATTATGTAGTAAATTATTTGGTTTGTAGTTTCTTAATTAAACCGCTATTTCGCTGAAATTTTCATTCAACTTATGCACTTTGTTTTCGATAGTATTTTTTCCTTAAATTTGCCAGCCATTCAGCTATACTGTTAAGCACACACGTTGTCGCCTGCCGTTCAACTAACTAAACTCTAGTAGTGAGTAGCATTTCAGGGGTGGTGCAGTGCTTTCGTGGCAAAGCATCAAAGGGAGGCATTTTTCTGTCATATAATATTAACGCTTTGAGTGTTTCTAAGCATAGCCGGCACTCAATAAGTTAACCTAAAAGCGCTCAAGTAGAGCGTCACTACTTTGAAATGCGTGAGAGCGTACGCTTATGGCTAAATGCTTCCTAATGTAAATTGAAATTCTACTCTTGTTTAATTTTGCACAGCTGTGTGGCCCAGTTTCGCACAATAATATATTGCACAGTAGTCGCCGTATGCAAATACTTATACATATTGAAATGTTTATATATTTCAGATCAGAAGGCAAGCCCTCGCGTTGTTGTTACTCGTAAATGCTACCTTTAAATTATTTTTCTAATCAATTTGCCATTTTATAATTTAATAAATTAGAAAGAAATGGCTTCAAAGACTAAAAAGTGTATCGAATCCAGAATTATAAAATTAAATTTTAATTTAATTTTAACAAAATGCATAGTAGACAAATAAAAAAATGTTTACGCATTGATTTTTTAATTAAATTTTCATTTTTATATTCTCATTAGAGATGCATTGGTTCAAAGTTCGTTAGTTTTCTTAAAGTTCGTTAGTCTTGCTCAAAGTCCACTAGCCTCTCAAAATGTATATTACTCTTCAATTTGCAGGTGTTCAATTGAAATGTAATTATTTGATTAGTTTATTATGATAATTAAAAACATACAACAAACCAAAAAAGTAATTGCGATAAATGTATGATTTACTTGGCCACGTGTTTTTTTTTTCATTTTTTACATATGTGGGCATTGAAAAACTTGATTACAGTTAGCAATAAGCTAAAAGTAATAATATTATTACGCTATTACGCACAAGTAATAATATTATGACGCTATGCAATCTCCACTAAACTCTCCGCTATGCCTGCATTCTCCATCATAGATTTGTGTGATATCACCTTTAAGAGCTTTCAAGTCGTGCATTAAAAAATTTTTATACGAGAAAAGGTCATAAAATTCTAATCTTAAATAAATAAAATTTATGTGCAAGGTGTGAGAATACCCAAACTAGAAAATCCCTGCATTTTTCATATATGTATGTACATATGTAAGTATGCACAAGGTGCGTAAGTGTCTTGGCGGGCAAATATGACACATACTATTGTATTTCTTAGAAATATACACACACCCAGCTAAATTTATATTAATATATAAAAATGTACATATGTATATTACTGCTCCCCTTCCCAGAAATGTCAACACCATGTGCACGCTGCTGATAATAGTCAGCCGTACGGGTACTTGGCTTCGAAAGTGGCGCAATTTTTGTATGACTAAACTCACTCTCGCAGTGAAGACGCTCCAGAGCATTGCACGATTAGCTCATTTCTTTTACGCGGGGGTGCAAAATGAGTGCAAAAGCTGGCGTTTACCGGCTAGACAAAAAATATACGAACTAATAATGATGAATTACTTAAAGAGAACTATGCCCTGTTACGCTCTTCTATAAATGGCTCAAGAGAAAAGATAAAAACATGCTATCGCAAAGAATTTTACTTAAAATTAAACGTGTGCCCATAAAACACTGATAGCGCAAAAACATGCTATCGGAAAGATTTTTACTTAAAATTAAACGTGTGCCCATAAAACACTGATATCGCAAAAACATGCTATCGCAAAGATTTTTACTTAAAATTAAATATGTGCCCATAAAACACTGATATCGCATCGTTCGGTGTAGATAAGAAAGAGCTGGTAGTATGCGGGACCATACAAGCTGGGCAGCTCTTCAAGCTCATTAAAAAATTAAATAATCTTGCGCTTTGGGCTTTTTAATATAGAAACGTTTTTTTAACACAAAATATATTGTAGAAACACTTTAATTTTCAGCTATAACATACATATTTATTGTAATATAATATAATTAATATTAATATGATAAATCAACACTTTGAAACACTTTTTTATTGTCAAAGTTCCGTCCTTCAATTAAGAAACAAACCTTGTGTCGAAGTTTGTTTAGGGTTGTTTACATCGCACTATTATTATTCTTTTATGTTTCCTTACATTTTTATTAAGCACTTAAACTACTACACATGTATTTTTCATAAAAACTTTAGAATTAACAATCCTCCTTTATTACTAGTTAGTCCTCACACCTGGCAATTTCACATCGTTAATTATAATTATACCACACATACAAAGCATTTAACTTGGCAGTGGTCACAAAGAGCCAACGTAAATTTAGAACTGAGTTTTTAATTTATGATTTATTAATTTCTTCACTCACGAAGGTTCCCGCGACTGCTGTTTTTCTTATGTCAATGCAATTGCTGCACTAAAAATTCACTTTAGAATTCAGCATATACATATGTATGCACACAAAAATTTGTACGTTCTTTTCAACCACACTTTGTCGCGTCAAATTCAAATGTTTCAATCAAATGCGCGCCTTTCGCAATTTAAATCGCAACTGACAGCCAGCAATCTGCGACTTTATCAGTTGCAACGCCAATGTTTTGTGAATGGTGATGAAACCAAGCACATACCGATTTGTATTCGTAATTGTTGTATTTGTTAAACACACACATAACAAATGGCAAATATTGTATCATAGAGTTTTATTGCTTTTCCAATTTATTCGGTTTTGTTAATCCCTTCTAAAAAGCGGCATACTCGTGTAATAAGTACCAAATTGTGTTCAATATTTACAAACATCTGAAGTATCGATATCCGTATGTACACATGTGAACGCAACTACAAATATAACAACGTACAGTAAACTGTTTTAGACAAATATTTAAATACCTTTGGGTGTCGCCCAATATTTATAAATGCAAGTAAATTTGCATGCATACATAAACGTACAATAAGTATGCTTATATGTATGTATAAAGGGTATAATTGCGAAATGTGTGAATGTGTTTGAACACCGGAAATTGGTACTGCATGGCTCGAGTATGGAAAAAAAATTTACATTAAAGTCTTTTTTTTTCATACGAAATACTTTACAGTCAGCATTTAGAGAATAGAATTTGAAATTTTACTAGCTTTATAAATAAGTTTCATACAAGGTAAACATATACAGGAGGTATATAAAACATATATAATAAAAGGAGTAACGCATATACACAAACATACATACATGCATGTGTACACATAATATATTTGCCTTGAATGTGCAGCGAAAGCCCAAACCACTTTCGGTTGCAAACGTATTTGTTATAACTTAATAATTATATGTACATATGTATGTATGTAGCCATGTCGCGTTTGGGCGAAAAGTGCTCTGTGTTCATCACCAAATTTGCACTGCACTTGAAGGTGCTTTGTTTGTCTAAACACAGACACAACTCTATGTATATACCAAATACTACGTAGTCATATGATGCCCCACACAAGTTTTCCAATTTTTTACCGTTAAAAGGCTGTTAGAGACAAAAAGCATAAAAACGCGTTAACATCGTGGTTAACATATTATTTATCCATTAACAATGTTTTGACAAAGTGATAACAAGAAAATTTTCGCAGCACACCCTATAACAGCATTTACATACATATGTTAGCAATTAGAAAAGATGTTAGGCCGGGGAGTAATTAAATTTCACTCCAAATCAGTAGAAACAAAACTACATTTATATAAAATAATGCTACAACAATGCCTTTTTACCCATTTAATTGTTTTTTTTATTTAATACTACCACATACATATATACGTACGTACCTATAACATACCTATACATATGTTATAACATAAAAAAATGTAAAGCGCACTAATTTACAAAAAGTCCGTTAAAACTTAATCGCAATCACAAACTGCTCATATTAAACATTGCAACCCTGCGTTACAGCTGTGCTTATTAAACACAGTAAGGAAATAAACATGTGTGATATATCGTGTTTTGTTTATAAAATATTTTTTGTTGAGCAAGTGCTTTTGCTTTAAAACTGCATAAATATGGCTGATGAGAAATTGGATTTGCAAAAAACGTGGACGGATGAGGAGCGTTTAGCCTTGGCCGCAAAATTGGATGAGGAATTAGATGCGTACATTGATAGTTTAGAGAAGAAACGCTATGAGGAAGGTTGGCCGGAGGATCGGTGGCAGGAAGTATGTAGGAAGTTTTAAAGAAAAGTAAACAAATAAAATATGTTTTGTGCATAGGAAATGGACAAGCATCCGTTCTTTATGAAAAAAGCGCCGCAACCTGGTGACGATGTGCACCCAATGTTCGAGGGTTTGCAAAAGTTGAAATACGACCCAGAGGAAAACACAGCGGAGGAATTGGCTCTTAATTATAAGGAGGATGGCAACTTTTATATGAAGCATAAAAAATTTCGTACTGCAATATATAGTTTCACGGAGGGCTTAAAAGCTAAATGTGATAAACCGGAAGTAAAATCTGTGCTATACAACAATCGTTCAGCTGCACATTTCTTTCTAAAAAATTACCGGTAAGACGGGCTGAAACATATCTATTTTCAGACTACAACTTCTTGTAATTATAGCTCGGCACTCAGTGATGCGCAAAAGGCATTGGAATATAACGCAGAATATGCCAAATCGCGTTCGCGCGCAGCACAGTGTGCCTTTTATTTAGACAAGTTCGAATTATGCGCTCAACTATGTGAAGAACTACTGAAGCGGAATGAAAATAATAACGAAGCACGGGACTTGTTAAAAAGAAACAAAACGAGAAAGGTTGTGTGTTCACGAAAAATTCTTAGCTGAAATATATAACTTTTATATACCTACATTTATAGCTGGAAACTGAACGAGATCAACGCAAAGAAGCTGCAGAGGCAAAGAGACGCATTGTGAGCTTTCAACGGCTAACTGAAGCGCTAAAGTCACGCGGTATTAAATTCGATGATCTAAAAAATAATAAACCCATAACGGAGGAATTGTTGCGGCCAAAATTTCTACCGTTAGAAGATCATCCAGTTCATTTGGACCATGACAGTGAGACCCTTGTGTGGCCAACAGCCTTTTCACATCCAGAATTTTTATTTAGCGATTTCCAGCAACAACTGTCGGAGGATGTAGTGTAAGAACATGCATATGGATTTATAAAGTTATAAATTATTTCACAACAATTTTTTTGCAGTATGGAAGATTGTGTCAATGACATGTTTAAAGAGCCACTGCCATGTGACAAATCGAATAGCTATCGACCTGGCAATTTAAATATTTACTATGAGAACCGTAAAGTGGGTTGCGTGCGTAAAGTGGATTTAAATAAAACTATAAAGGAGATTCTAAACGAAAAGGGGTATGTTGAACGAAAGTATTATTATTTTCCAATATGATTTATCAAAAAAATTGTTTTTTTGACACGCAGATTCTTTGTCACTGGCGGCTCACTGTTATTTTATGTTGTACCAAAGAACTCTCAAGTTGAATGCGAATTCGTTAATCAGCAAAGAAGACCATTGATTTATGTGTGAAAGTGACCAATATATTTGCTTGTTGAAATTATAGGTTCGAGTTCATGTATATAGCATTTTTAAATAATAAAGTAATTGTTTTTTATGCACAGTAGTGTATTTCGAATGTGACTGAAACAAGTTTATTAATATGTGTTCGGGTGCATATATTTCTTATATAACACTTAATATCTTATACATAACAATTCTATCTAATACACCTTCGATTTCATTGTATAACTTTGTTTAATAGTTTCCACGCCAATTGACATATATATGTAAGTTCACAGTGTAGTGCACGCTATACATGTATACATAAGCTAAGCTATTTCAACATGTATGCCAATATTATATTTGTCTTATTATTCACTATTGCAATTCGGATTACTGCAATGATATTTCAATAGCTTTTAAAAACAATGTGTATAAAAATAATGTCGAATTTTTTTTGTGGCAGGAATTGGTAGGATATTATTTATCTACATATGTTCACCATACAAGTATGAGCATTATTTTACTGTGTTCGAGGTTAGCTTATTTTAAGCTTTTTGCTAAAACTATAAAAAACAATAGATGTCATATTGGTAAGAAAAAACTAATTTCGCTTATATAAGCACTCACTGATCATTTAGACTTCAATAGTATCATCTATAGTACACTAAAATACATACATACACAATTTCTACTATAAATTGATCCATATTTGAACTTTTATATTTATGTACAAACTTTGGTTTCTACTACTTGCTATTTAGAGACAGTTTTGCTTTTTGTTATTGAGATTCGTTAAATAATACATATCATGTATATCTATTTACAAAATGTGAATATGCTTGGTGTGTGGAATATACATATTTAAGCTAATGAGAATATACATACAGGAATGGGTTATTATTCAACTAAAATACAGTGCAATTTGTAGGCATGACTCACACATTTAATTAAATAGAAAAACTGTATTAACTGAGTGAGATTTATAAAAAAAAAATATTTAAAAAAATATTTAAAAAATTATAAAAAAAAAATTATAAAAAAAAAATTAAAAATATAAAAAAAAATATTTAAAAAAAATTATTCGTTTGCGCTAGCAATCTAATAAAAAATACACAAGAGATTCTACAAATGATTTGCCTTAGTCAGAACATACATATGCATACAAAATAACATTAAACAATATAATATAATTAACAAAACAATTTTCGGGCGCAATTATAAATTTCGGTTCGAATGAAGTAAGAAGTTTTAAGCAACTCTTAAGGCCCCTTCACATACAACTTTCCTCGCTTTTCGTAACTGTTCATACTGAAACAACGAAGCGCGGAAAACAAAAGGTAAGCCATAACATATGAGAGTTCTGACATTTTGCTTGGTTTCGAGTCACTAACTTTTTATGTGCACGCACTCATAAGAAGCAAAATTTCTATGTGAATTGGCCATTCAGATTTGCGTCCGCATTAAACTTTCACATATACATACATAGACAGAAACTAAAAACTATTTCTTACTTTCGTTTCAACGAAATGCTAAAAAAATACTTTTCCTTTTTACCTTAACCTTCTTCAACATTAACTTTTCGTTTTGTTTCTTGTTTGTGTTTTAAAAATACTCGCCTGCTGCTGCATAAACTTTCGGGCAATGCTTTTCGGCCAGAATACCGTAAGCTACGTTTGCACCCACTTTCACGTGCCTTTGCTTGGAGTGTTTGTTCCATACATGTGCTATGTACGAATCCCGAAGCAAATCCAGGGTTTCAGTCAGGTACTGTGCTTCAAAAAAATATTCCCACTTCTTCCAAGGTATCGCATAAAACGCTTCCCTTGGCATTATGTGAAATCCCATACACCGTTTAGCATCCATCATTAACTCAATGTTGGCTGTCTTACAGACATCATTCATGACTCGCGTTATGACACCTGGCCCGTTGTTACCCCAATCGCTCCCATCGAAATTTAACAGGAAATCTCGTAAGCATTTTTCAGCGATTTCATGGCCAAACCCATCAGGAGCGAAATTCATTACACCAGCTGCAAGGTACGTAGTTGACTCCGCTCCTGTATAATTTGGTGGCAATTTTTCTAAACTACGCAGCACTACGACATCCATGTCAAGGTAAGTGCCACCCCATCGCCATAATGTCAAATAGCGTAAGAAATCGGAAAGGTGTGATAGCACATAACTGAAATGTTTAATGTAATATTAGATACACCAGCTACCAGTTAGTTACTAGTGTTTTGTTGTTACCTGGATCGAAAAAGTTTGCCATCTTTTAACCACTGGTACATCGGTGTTCCAGCTGCATAACTCCAAATATTTAGGTTTCGTAAATGTACATTTGGGTAGCTGAGTATCGCTTCTATCACTGGCGGAGTATTATTGTAATCACGGTAAGCAGGACTGGCAAAGAGTACAAAAACACTAAAACCAGGATTGTGTAATGCAGCCGATTCAATGGCACATGCTTCCCGAGCTGTAAGATCCATCATATTAATTGGTGCGCTGCCTAAGTATTGCATCCTACTACGTAGTTTCTCATTCGGACAACTGGTTTCGTGAAAGATAATACTACGCCCACTTGCATTTGGTTTCGGTTCTGAAAGCATTATATCGTCCAGGAGATGCGGACCAACACTAAACTTATTTTGTGCATATTTTTGTTGTGTAGATGAAACTATTGGAGATGCACTGAAGCTATTCATAAAACAGTAGCGTATGTCGGTTTGATTCATGTCTGGACCATAAAGTAGACACCAGCTTATTACAAATATCGATAGCAGGAGGAGGAGTATCCATTTCAATCTGGGTTTGGACATAATTTGTTTCATTTTACTTCAGAAATGCAGTTAAGTTTTGAGATTCAAAGATAGTAGAGAATGCGTAATTCCTCTGTCATATTTTATTCAAGTGATATTTAGTGGCTCAAATTCCACCAACCCGTATTAGGAACTAGGCTCTTTCAGGAGGCCCACATCTTCGTTAAATATGGATAATATCACGGCCTCACCCACATTTAAACACAATCACTTAACACAAAATATAGCAGTTTTCTTATCGCTGTAATATTTATTTTATTGTACTTTTGACAACCTTGAAATTACCAGGGTGTCAGTTTTTCATACTTGTAAAGCAATATAAATTTACAAATATTTTTTACTTCATCTTTATCATTTGAATTGTCTCGAATAAGTACACAAACTTTAAAATAATAGTAACAATTATTACCAAACTGCAATATTATAAAAATTGAATGAGACAACGAAAGTTAATATTACTTGATGTACATTATGTAAAGAAAATCCAAAGAAAGAAACTTATTTATTTCTCTTATTTTCGAAATAACTTCTTTTGTATGTTATAATCTTATAACTATTTTTTATATGGTAAAAGCATATAATTTTATGCAGTGATAACATACCTGCCCCTGCCAAATCGGCACTTAGATAAGTTTTTGCAAATTGTAATCACTGTGCAGGTAACTGCGTGAAGTGCAACTCTGCTCGACGCTTTCAAATGTCAATTGAGCATTTTCTCGAGCCGGGGATTGTAATATTAAGCAAGTTTTGCATGGTAATTTTGATAATGTAAACAATTACAAGATTAAATGCAAGTATTTGAAAATTTAAAAATATTTAGTGACTATATAATTCGAGTGTTAAAATAGGATATTGTTATAGTTCTATCAATCAGACTGGATCATTACAACGGCGGTGTTTGAGGTTAGAACAGTTTTGGTGTTGAGAAGTTTTTTTTTGGCATACGTTGACAAGTTTGCGACCGAAGTTTTGTCATTTTATTTGTAAAGCGTTTTTAAAAATTTTGGATTGCACATAGCACAGATATGAATGTACCTCCGGGAGCGGCTGGTGGTGCAGTTCCGCCACCAATGGGCATGCCGCCAATGTTTAATATACCGCCACCAGGGTTTGGAGGACCACCTCCTCCAGAGCTGGCGGCAGCGTTCGGTGGTATGCCGCCTAACACTGAATGGACAGAGCACAAAGCTCCCGATGGACGACCGTATTACTACAATAACAATACTAAACAAAGCTCATGGGAAAAGCCCGAAGCACTGATGACACCAGCCGAACGTTTGACTCACCAGTGCCCTTGGAAGGAGTATCGTTCTGATGCTGGTAAAGTGTATTATCACAATGTTAACACAAAAGAATCACGTTGGGAACCTCCACCAGAGTTTGTAGAAATGCAAGCTAAAGTAAAAGCAGAAGAGTAAGATATATTATTGTATTTTTTAACTTTTGCAACAAAAAGCTAAGTGTGCTATTTTATAATGTTTTAGAGCTGCTGCTGCTGCCAAAGCCGTTGCTGCGATGACATCTTCCAGCTTGGCGGGAATGGTGCCACCGGCTGCTCTAGCCAGTATACTTCCGGCAACTCTCCCCACCGTGGTAAATATAGCTACACCTGATATTCGTTCACCTATGACCCCAGGCAGTAATGAAAATTCTTCATCAGCCCTTGATCAAGCCATGGCTGCTACATTAGCTTCAATTGAAATGCCACAAGCTGGGAAGGAAGAAAAGGAAAATAGTAATCGAATAACAATATTAAAATTTGTAAACGATAATAATTATTAATATATTATTACAGATAAGAAAGAATCACCTTCGGAGGAACCCAAAATAGTATTTAAAGATAAGAAAGAAGCAATTGAGGCTTTTAAAGACTTACTGCGGGAAAAAAATGTACCATCAAATGCTAACTGGGACCAGTGCGTCAAAATAATTTCAAAAGATCCACGTTATAGTTCGTTTAAAAATTTGAATGAAAAGAAACAAACATTTAACGCATATAAAACACAAAAGCTGAAAGATGAACGAGAAGAGTCGCGTTTGCGCGCTAAAAAAGCCAAGGAAGACCTCGAACGTTTCCTTATGTCAACTGACAAAATGAACTCACAAATCAAATATTATAAATGCGAAGAGTTGTTTGCGTCCAATAAAATATGGACCAGTGTGCCGGAACAGGATCGTCGTGATATTTATGATGACTGTATTTTCAACTTGGCTAAGAGGGAGAGGGAAGAAACACGTTTGCTAAAAAAACGAAATATGAAAGTACTGGGTGAGTTACTCGAGTCGATGACCACAATAACTTACGAAAGTACATGGGCGCAGGCGCAACTAATGTTGCTTCAAAATGCTGCCTTTAAGAATGATGTTAATTTACTTGGAATGGACAAAGAGGATGCGCTCATAGTTTTCGAGGATCATATTCGCTCATTGGAAAAAGAAGAAGAGGAGGAACGTGAACGCGAGAAGAAGCGCCTCAAACGTCAACAGCGAAAAAACCGCGATTCATTTTTATCCTTATTAGATGCACAACATGAAGCCGGAAAACTTACGTCAATGTCGCTTTGGGTAGAACTGTATCCAATAATATCAGCAGATTTGCGGTTTTCAGCTATGCTCGGTCAGCCGGGTTCTACGCCATTGGATCTATTCAAATTCTATGTAGAGGACTTAAAGGCGCGCTACCATGATGAAAAGAAAATCATACGCGAGATACTTAAAGAAAAGCAGTACGTGGTGCAAGCAAACACTTCGTTCGAGGAATTTGCTACTGTTGTTTGTGAGGACAAACGCTCTGCAAATTTAGACGCGGGCAATGTCAAATTGACATATAATGCTCTGCTTGAAAAGGTACAATTGCTTTACACATAAAAAATTAATTATCTAAAGGCATACATTTTTTATTTGTAAATAAAAAAAAAATAGGCCGAAGCCGTCGAAAAGGAGCGTCTGAAAGAAGAAACTCGCCGTTTGCGTAAATTGGAAAACGAAATCAAAGCGGAATGGCAAGAGGCAAATATTTCTGTACAGGAACCGCTCGAAGCTGCAAAGAAGTTGGTGGAGCATTTAGAAGCTTTCACTCTTTATGAAAAGGAAGTCGGTGTGAAAAAAATCTGGGAGGACTATATTAAAGAAAGCGAGGATGCCTGCAGTCATCACCATTCACGTTCGCGAAAATCGAAGAAGAATAAAAAACACAAGAAGAGAGTGCGTTCCAGTTCAAAATCGGTAAGCGACACAAGTGTAACAACAAGTTACAAAACAATAACAAATCTTAAAAAATTTTATTTACAGGATATTGAAAATGATCAAGATGAATTTGAGGCGGCAAAATTAAAAAAGCGAAAATCCCATTCGCGTTCGGTAAATATGCATTGAAAATTCAAAATTTATATTTTGTATATCAATTTGCATTTAATGCTCTTACAGCATTCGATTAGTTCTAGCCTCAGCATGGAAAGTGAACGCATCTCGAAAAAAAAGAAGAAACGAAAGAGCAAAAAGACCTCTCGTGCTGTATGTAGCCTACAATATGCCATGTAAAATGTTTGAATAATGTAAATATTTCTTTACAGTCTTCCTGCGAATCTGAACGCCCCATCGCCTCGCCAATTGCTTCGCCATCCGCTTCCCAATTGGAGGATATTACAGTTACCCGAAAGAAAAAACGCGATAAGAAAAGCAAGAAGGAAAAGAAACATCATCGCTCTATTACACCGATCAGTGCAAATGGTAGCAATCAGTCTGATGTTGAAAATTCAGGTACTAGTTCGCGAAATGCCGAGGAACAAGCGCTAAGCGAAACCGAACTGGAGTCGAAACGCGCCGCATTATTAGCACAATTGAATGAACAAATGGAAGATTGACCAACAGTGAATAGCCCATTATATTACAAATCGTCTAGGCCAATAAGTAACAAACGCAGCAACCAATAACTACGCCAATATCAATAAAGCTTTGTACAGAAAATGCAAGCATTTGACATTCAAAATTCGCTTTTACCAGCATACATTTCGTACAAGACTTTTGAGTAACTGCGAGTCTTTTAAGAATAATATTTATTATTATTATTAATGTTAATTATATGTACTTTATGAACTGCACATAAAAACATCTATGAATATTGGCATATAGAGACAAGTAATTGAGCACTTGTACGAATAAAATAAATACTAAAATATTGAAGTTCATTGGCGTTGTTTAAATTAAAAATATATCTTTTATAATACAGATCATCCAAAAACTACACGATGTTTATTTAATTAAACGTAGTTTTTTCTGAATTCTCTTTTTATAGTAATTTGTGCACACGCGCTGACCTTTTTACACCCTAAACAGGGTATATTAAGTTTGTAACACCCACAAGAAAACGTCAGCGACTATAAAATATAGCTATGTACATATATACTTATGTTTAGCATGACGAGCTAAGTCAATTTAGCCATATCCGTCTGTCTGTATATACGCAAACTAGTCCTGCTGTTTTTGAGCTACCGATCTCAAATTTTGCACATGTTTTTTTCTCCCCATAAAGCTGCTTATTTGTCGCAACCGCTGATATCGTATAACTATAGCATATAGCTGTTATACAAACTGAACGATCAAACCCAAGTTCCTGCATGAAATATTTTGTATTTGTGAAGAGTATTATAGCGACGGTGCAACCGAATTTAACGTTTTTTCTTGTTTTCTAATAAATGTATTACAAGGTCGGCAGCATCTTCGCTAATCAGTTCATGCTGTTGTCCGAGAAAACCAAATAAGTTGAAATCTAGCAATTTTTACAATACATACAAACGAATGAGTATGAATTTATGAGCTGTATTTCCGAGGCACTGCCGCACGAGCGAATATTTGAAAACCCGAAACGTTTTCAATTTTCGCGAATTGCTTTACTTTCAATACACCTAAAAATTATGCTCTCGGCGCAGTTGCACTTTGTGCATGTAGAAAATGCAAAATATATTGTAAATGCGAAGAATTCTTTGTATTGGAGACGAGTTTTGCCTGCAAGATAAAATAAATAATCCACACACTACATTTCGGTTAGTGGTTTGGCGTGCAACGAACGTTTCTCCGTGGTAATATTCCTTTTTGAATTTAATTAATTTTCCACTTAGCTGTGTAATAACGTGATTTTAGTTTTCGCTATTTCAAATCCCAGTGAGTTGAAAAATACATGTACATATATTTAAAAAAAAAGTTGTTAGTGCATGTGGAAAGTGCAGGAGTTTAATAAATGTGTTTAAAAGTGTTTGAAAAATATTTTTTATTACGCAATATTCAGCAAATTGTGAATGCTAAATATGAAAGCGTTATGTAAAAATTTAATAACAACGCTAGAAAACAGTAAAATCAAATAAAAATAAAATACTTCAACTAAATTTCAATAGAAGAGGCGTAGTCAATACTAAAGAATTTTCGCTTATAATATACACTTGAGCTGAAAACGTTAAAAATCAAGTAGTAGTAAAAATCAAAATTAATTTTTAAATTATTTTTTTTTTAACTGGTATTTGAAATTCGATTATGTCTGAATTTATTACAGGCTTAATATTTCGAGTAAAATTTTCTATACCAAAAAATGCATGGACCTTCAATGTGTTAATGACCTTCTCTGTTGAAGCATAGATAAAATAGAGACAGTTGGCCTCTAATTGTAATCAGCGTATTACATCATTTTTGGCAAAAGACTGCGCTAACCTAAAAGTCATTTAACTGACCGCGAATAAGAATTCAAATTTAATTTTAAATATTTCATTTTATAATTGAATCATTTTTTAATATATATTTTAATATTTACTGCATTTGTTTTACACCAATTTTGCTTTTATTTTTGCGCGTTTCCATAACTTGCAGCCTGAACTGTAAATATCAACGAAATGCTCTTCACATCCCTACTTGAAGCCGCCCAAAATTCTCCCTTTAAAACTCCCTTATCGGCAGCCAGTTGTCAGAGCAGCCGCAGCGATGGCTCAAAACTGACGCCAAACCACCAGATAATGGCTGCCGCAGCCGCCGAAGGTGGTAAGTTTAAAGTGATATGAATTTTGTTAACTAGACAAAACACACATGTAAATCTGTTTTGTTTTACAAAGATTCTTGCGCGTTCGGCTCGAACACCTACTTTGCCCTCTGTGGTCTTGGTGGTATCATCTCGTGCGGTCTTACTCACACTATGGTGGTGCCATTGGATTTGGTTAAATGTCGCTTACAAGTCGATCCCGTTAAGTATAAGAGTGTGTTCAATGGCTTTGCCATTACACTTAAAGAAGATGGCGTGAAAGGTCTTTCTAAGGGTTGGGCGCCAACTTTCTTCGGTTATTCTATGCAGGGTCTCTGTAAATTTGGTCTTTACGAAGTATTTAAGGTGATCTATTCTGATGCGATTGGTGAGGAGAACTCTTACTTGTATCGCACTTGGTTGTACCTCGCAGCTTCCGCATCGGCTGAATTCTTTGCCGATATCGCTTTATCACCTATGGAAGCGGCCAAAGTGAAAATTCAAACAACACCTGGATTTGCAAACACTTTACGTGAAGCTTTGCCCAAGATGTCGGCACAAGAAGGCATTGCCGCCTTCTATAAGGGTTTGGTACCATTGTGGATGAGACAAATTCCATATACGATGATGAAATTCGCCTGCTTCGAAAGAACGCTGGAACTTCTATATAAGTAAGTGAAATACTTACAATAAAAAAACAAAACAAAAAAACATTTTTCTTATACCATTTTTCATATATTAAGAGCATAGTTTTTCGTTAAGACTAATAACTTGAATTGTACGTTTACAGATATGTCGTACCCAAACCCCGTCAGGACTGTACGAAGGGTGAACAGTTGGTGGTAACTTTCGCTGCTGGTTACATTGCTGGCGTCTTCTGTGCCATTGTATCCCATCCAGCTGATACAGTTGTATCCAAATTGAACCAAGCCAAGGGCGCTTCAGCCTTCGATGTGGCCAAGCAATTGGGTTGGGCTGGTACGTAGATACATTTCCATACCATTTCCTTGTATAATATTTGTAACGCTTTATATTTTTTATGGTTTTCACTTTTTTCCTAACAGGTCTGTGGGGTGGCCTTGTGCCTAGGATTGTGATGATTGGTACTCTAACTGCCGCTCAATGGTTCATCTATGATGCTGTTAAGGTGTACCTGCATATGCCCAGACCACCTCCACCAGAAATGCCCGAGTCTTTGAAGGCTAAACTGGGTGTAGCTTAGTGTGGCGTATGAAATAATTAAATATTTAGTGATAATTGACTAGCGGCATTGTTATTTGTAAATTTACCCACGCAATAAAAACTCAAAAAATATTACAGAATTCGCGATATCATAAGAAACGAAAGATTATGCTGGAATAAAATTTATTATAATTAAAATAACCAATGAATTTTTTCTTAATACAGTCAGTAGTAAAAATACAGTCTTCCATCCTCTTAAAAATACAGACAATAACAGTGACTTAAGGTATATTGTGCTCTGCTCTATATCACACAGTTTCATATATGTAGGTCCAGCACTCTGATATATTCCAGTACCCTGCTGGGTGCTATTGAGGCGATGTGATCCCTAACCAGGTATATAGATCCAAGGGTCTTGGTTGTGCGTCTACAGACTGCTGTGCGGTCTAGAATCAGGTAGTCGGGAGGTTTTGACTCCATGTCGCAAAATCGGTATTTTGCACAAGAGGCCATGTTAAACAGGTACTTCTTGAGCCTGCAGTGCCCAGTATAAAATGGTACAAATAGTTAGAATTTGTCTCTCGGGAGGTTATTTATGCTTTTAATTAAGTGAGATTGTAACCACCTTTTAACAATTTTTCCTGGCGCATGCCTGTGAGTTCTTGCCAGAATTTTTCCCTACCCAGTCTCTCTGCAGTCGTTCTATACACTCCAGCACGAAAAGCGACTTACAGCATAGACTTCCGCTTGGAAAATGCTCGAAGAATGCCTCATAGGTATGGAAAGTCTGGTACACGGTCCGGCGGTGCTTGCCCATTCCCTTCCGACGTTTTCGAGCCGTCATTGTACCACTTAATAGTGCTATCACTCAGCAATAGATCAAGCATGAATTTACTCCATTCAGCCTCACTGTCGAGGGTAGCTTTACACTTTTTTGTGAAGTTTAACCTTTTGGTAATGCTTTCCTTTGGGAGAAGGGCCATCACTTAAGGCTTTCATTTGTTGGGACGAGATTACCTAACAACTTCTATATCCTTCTGTTCTCATTTGAAGAATAGTATGTTTTGCTGATTGTTTGATTAGCTACTCTTAGGAAGATTCCACCATAATGACAATTAGAAACAAGGTGCTGAAGTTGCTAACAACACATGAAGAAGCCCTGTTTACTAACATTTAAAGTCATGAGCACGTCTGTAGGTAACTACATTACTTCAGTTTAGTCCATGGGAACATTGAGTGTTACAATGGTAAAGCCTTCAGATTTGTCACTCCATCCATTAAGCGGGTGGTGAAATATGTTACTTTACAACAACAACAGGTGAAATTTGGGAAGAGTTCAAGTGCCTACAGATTTCAAACCAGGGCTAATCCATTAATTTTAAAGCCAAAAATAATAAGTGACGGTTTCCCTGCTATAACAACTGGTAGTACACTGGCTCCCAAACTTAATGTATGTATAAACAAACGCACGTGCAGGACATAAATGTCAAAAAAATTTTGTTTTCAGTTAAAACACCCAATTGCAGTAAAAATAATATAAAGTGTGTTTTGCAATTTAGGAAAATGCCTGCAGCTAAAACAAAAAAGATAAAAGTACAACCGAAATCTAATAAAATAAAAAGTATTGAAGATGCGCTGGAGAGTAAAGCTTGGGAAAAAGTAAAAATCAAAGGCAATGTAATCTCTGATGACGGTGGCGGCTTTGAAGGTCTCATCGGCCTAGAGGTGTTGGAAGAATATGACCCTAAATTAGTGGAAACTGCTAAAGTATATATTATTTATTATTAGATAATGTGTTTATGTGCATACAAACATCATCTTCTATATTATAGGGGAAACGCTCAAGGAAGGAAAAGAGAATGGAAAGTAAGTTGCAAACTAAAAAACATAAACTGGGGAAGCAATCAAATTCAGAAACTGAGATAGAAGATATGTCGGACGTAGAGGATGATGATAATACAGAATCGACTACGGCAAAAAACAGAAAGGAACGTCTGGCAGAGCGAAAACTAAATGTAATTGAAAAACGTAAAGCGAAGCGTGAAAAACGTAAACAGAAGAAGAATGTAACTAAGCAAGACGCTAATGTTCAGGACGATCAAAATAATGAAGAGGAATACCCACCAGATCGCTTTGCTTTGCTGAGACCACCAGTTGCAGATAATGATATAAATATTGAAACCAGTGATGATGAAGCCGAGGCTCCTCAATTGCTGAATGCGTCAGCGATAAGCGTTGATGACCTTGAGGTAAGAACAACTGATATTATCAAATGATAAATTACATATATAAAGATTGCAATTTACTTGCAGGGTTGGAATGGATTAGGTGTGCCACAAGTCATTCTTCAAGCTATTGCTGAAAAAGGCTTCAAATCACCGACGGAAATACAGACTATGACACTACCTGCTGCTATTTTGGGCAAAAAAGACATTCTTGGGGCAGCGGAAACTGGCAGTGGTAAAACGTTAGCATTTGGTATACCGTTATTAGCAGGAATCATGGAGCTGAAATCGAAAAACCTCCGTAGTGGGATACGTAAGGCGCCTAAAGTTAAAGGGCAAATTCAGGATTTGAAAGCCAAAGCCATTGAAGAAGATAGAGAGCTAACACCACCACCAGAAGAACTTGATTTTTATCCTTCGTTACCCACAGAGGACGAAGCAAGTGATTCGGAGGACGATCAGGTGCACAATGGACCACTATATGCTGTTGTGCTCACACCGACCCGTGAGTTAGCAGTACAGGTACGAGATCACTTAGTAGCTGCCGCGAAGTACACTGGTATGAAAATTCAATTATATTAATAATATTATAGTAATAATTGCATTCAACCTCAGGTGTAAAAGTTGCGGCGATTTTTGGTGGATTAGCAGTCGCTAAACAGGAACGTTTACTAAAACGTTGCCCCGAAATTGTTGTTGCGACTCCCGGACGTTTATGGGAGCTCTATCAACAAGAAAATCCACATTTAAGCAAAATTGAAGACATAAGTTTCTTGGTAATCGACGAAACTGATCGCATGGTAGAAAAAGGCCATTTCGAAGAACTCCGTAGCCTATTGAAAGTGCTGAACGCAAATGAAGAGAAGAAGCAAACGCGTCAAAATTTCATATTTTCGGCTACTTTAACACTGGTGCATGACTTGCCTGATCATATGCAACGTGATTTCCTTAAACTAAATTTATTAAACCTATTTATTTTGATTATATTTAATTTGCAGGGCGAAATGTTGGAAAACGGCTTAAATTTATAAAACAAACACCCGGCATGAAAATTCAAAGTCTTATTGAGGAGCTTGGAATTTCACAGCCCAAAATAGTGGACATCACCAGAAGTCAACGTAAGTTTAAACAAGCCACCAACAATAAATTTCCGTATAAACGGGATAAGCATGTTGGTGCTAAAACGGGAGTAAACTACCTAACCAAAATCCACAAACTGTCGCTGATCACTCTTCATTTATTCGATGTGTGGAAAGTCATTCACAGTGGACCTTCACCGACTCAAACCCAGTGAATGGCGTTCTTGAAGTCAAACCACCACCCATAGCAGACGAAGAGCTTGAGTTACTCGAGAATCTAGAGTACCCCTTGCGCAACTTCGTTCTGGATAATGTAGCAATATAAACTCCTACCTAACCAAAATTGACCACGACATACCTAATATATGTCCTGCATGCAATGAGTCCCCGCATGTCTTTAACCACCTCTTTGAGTCCCACTCATTTAACACTCCTCTGACTATGGGTCGACCCCGTCGAAACAGCACGTTTCCTGGTTCGCCCGTTAGATGGCTTCGAAGACAACCAAATTGACTCTAATAACCCAAAACGGGATTAGATAACCGCTACAACAACAACAACAGCCGTATAATTATTTATATATTTCATTGCAGAAACGGCACATAACCTCACCGAATGTCGTCTAATATGTTCAATTGACCAAAAGGACTATTATCTATACTATTTCATACAGCGTCATCCTGGTCGTACTATTGTGTTCTGTAACTCAATCGACTGTGTAAAACGCTTGGCAACACTCTTCGGATTGTTGGAATGTGCACCTTTGCCGTTACACGCAAATATGGTACAAAAACAGCGTCTTAAGAACCTAGAGCGCTTCCGAGACAATCCGAATGGATTCCTAATCGCCACCGATGTTGCGGCGCGTGGGTTAGACATACCCAATGTGGAACATGTGATACACTACCAAGTGCCACGCACCAGCGAAAACTATGTTCACCGTTCAGGGCGAACTGCTCGTGCTAATAAAAATGGCATAACCGTAATGCTTATGGAGCCCGGGGAGGTGAAGAACTATGTAAAGCTGTATAAAACTCTGGACAGATGTGAGTACAGGGAAATTTTTTTTTTTAATGTGGATGTTAAATTTTAACACCTACAGCGGAAGACTTACCATTGTTTCCCGTTTCCGAGAAGTACCTACGCGCTGTGAAGGAGCGTGTGAACTTGGCTAGGGAGGTTGATAAGCAAGAACTTAAGCAACGTCGCACGCAAAGTGAAATTGGTTGGATGAAGAAGCACGCGGACGAGATGGATATGATAATAGATGGATTTAATGACGAGTCGTAAGTAAAAATATTGCAAATAATTGATGGTATTATCATACCATTTAAATTTCCTACATTTTAGTGGCAGTGACCAAGACGAAGACGCTTTTGTTATCGAACGACGACGCGATCATATGCATTTAGAAAATATTCGTGCACAGCTCAGGTCTTTGTTGACAAAACCAATGTTTCCAAGCGGATTTAGTTTTAGGTAAATTGATTTTCTTTTTTTGTAGTATATTTTCTTATTTAATGAAAATATTTGAATTCGTAGATATCCTACTAGTACCGGACAATTGCAAATGCCAGGCATTGGCAACTCCGTCACAGATACTGATAAAGGAAGCGCTGTAAACGTAATGAAGGCAGCAATAGAGGACTTAAAGGAAGCCAAGAAAAATCGGAATAAGAAACGAAAACTAGCATAAAATACACAATTATTTAATATATCATGTTTTGAAAATAATTATTAAATAAACTAAACATAAATCAGTGTTTTGATACGAAATAGCGCACACCATTCTCCGTAAGAGAGCGTGCATGTTTGGCCAATAAAGTAGACACAGAAAGGGTAGGTGTACTAAAACATCTACAAGTATAAGATTTATATAATACGCGATTGGTATTTGGTGTACTGGTTGGTGACAGTTACGTTTACTTACTCAATATAAGGCTCCATTTCTTCTTTTGTCCAACGCGTTTTATTCTTGAACAAAATTCGCATTCTTTCGTGAATATTTGTTGGCATGAGCTCTTCGACAAGCGATCGGACGCAAGTGGTGCTACCCTCCCTATCAATAATGCCCAGACCTCGTAAAAATTTCTCCTAAATTAAAAATTATATAAAATATTGAAATGCAATTATTTATTTTACTTACATCACAACACATGCCCTCTGGCAATGCTTCTTGCCAAGTGCTCATAAATTCATCTTTACGAAACTTTAACTCTGGTTGCAATATGTTCTGTGCAATGATACGTGCAACAAGGCTCTCTTTATAAGTATATTTCCCTTCTTTGCCATCAGTCGGCACTGTGTAAATTCGGAAAAGTTCTTTTACAATTTCAGATGGCGCGATTCCTTCCAAAGCCGACAAAGTCTCTCCATATTCCACTTCATCTAAAGCCCACGAATTTTCACTCAACAATCCCAGCATAAAATTCACAATACGCATTTCATATTCACATTCGAGTACACGCATGCGTCCTTCGAATTCTACAGCACGAAATTGTATTAAGCCTTCGTCGAATTGCTTACGACTACATTGCACTGTGTCCAACAGTTGATTATATGTGAATAGCAATTTGCGATCAATATACTCCTCGTTTTCGGGTCCAGAATAACGAGTCAACTGCAGCAATTCGTATATCTTTCGGTAACGTGGTCTTATTTCGCGACATTCAAAATACTCGTGAAAAATTTTAAGTACTTTGCGCTGCTCCAATGCTCGATCAACCGAAATGTCGTCATCATCATCATTCAAACTTGTCTCAAGTGAAGAAGTGCCGGCGCGAGGACTCTTTAATGGTGATGTGCTGGTAGCAGCGGCGAATTTCAAATCCGGCACCAATAATAGACTATTAGATATCTCTGCGGCTTTCACGTCATACGTTTTCTCTTCACTACATAGCACAATTTTTTCATTATGACCCCCTTTAAAATATAGCGTCTGACCAAGACGTATCTGCTGATGCATATGTGTATCCAACTCTAGCAGTTTCAAATTATCGTCGTCCATTGTAGATGGGTAGTAAAGTGCTTGTGTAACTTGTGTGAGGTTCTTAGCATCCAACTTGGCATATTTAATGATACTTTGGACATCTTCCAACGTTCGCACATATCTGAAGCATTTTAAAATTATATCTTATATTATATTAAATCATAGAAATATGTAGCAAATCTCCGAATGTTTTGCTTTAATATAAGATTACTCACGGTTTTTCTTCGTTTTCTTCTAAATCTACCTCCATTTCCAATTCACTCATATTTTCTGTAGTAACTATTAAGCGTATATTACAAAAAAACAATTTTACAAATTTTGCGCCAACATTAAAACAGCTGTGTTTGTTTACAATGCGAATAATTGCTATGTTCCATTTTTAATAATTTTTGGATTCTATGCAGTTTAGAAAGTACTGTAATGTATTGTAGACTGCATTCACATGTGTAAAGCCAAAATGATTTGGCGCTAAACACCTAAATGTAAAATAAAGATACTATACAGTAAAATTTCCATATGAATTCAGATTAACTTTAAAATTTTCTTAAGGGTAGCACAGATATTGTACCAGAGAACGTATATTTTTACGTTCTCTGGCACTAGTGTCAGATAACGTATATCATATAACGTATCATATATATAATAAATGTTCTCTGCTGGTGTTGGATTCTGCATTTTTCAAAACTTCGGCAACACTGAAAAGGAACGGTATCCTTCTTGTATGCCTTGATGTGCATTCATTTATTTGTTATTGTACATACAAATTCAATAGAATTTTTTCCAGTGGCTTTTCTGAAAATATAACTTTGAGCGATGTACTTTGTATTTTATACTAAAAAATATTAATTTTATTATAAAAAAACAGTGTAAAAAATGGAAACTAATGAGATTACAATGTATATGGATGTTAAACTGGATATACATAATAAACGCCCGGATTCACTGAAGTTTAAGCAATGGTCCAGATGTGAAGTAAAAATTGAAGGTATCAAATGCCTACCAAGCTACTTACGTATCGCAATCACGGGATGTAATGATGCTGAAGGATGTCTGACAGAAGAACAACGTTTCCAGTCCAAAAGATACATTAGTGTTTCCATTATAGTGCCGGGTGTTAGCATAAGTTTAGCATCTTCGCGAACGAAAGAGTACAGCTATGGGCTGTTTTGGACACAAAATCGTAAACAGTGTTTCATATATTTTGCTTTGGAAACCGAGATGAGTTGCAGACGTCATATGAAATGGATAAAAAAGACTATAAAAAATTTAGAATTACATCGTCAATTAATGCTGGAGCAGAATAGAACCAGCCGCGGTCCAAGTATATGCGTGGCTGGTACAAGGCAGTTCGAAAAGGAAAATATGCAGATTCCTCTGCCAATAAATGTGAATGAAGGGTGAGTAAATTCATACCAAATCCATTAGAGTATACAATACTATTTACAATAAAATAAATTTGCAGTTTGACTGAAGCTATTTATTCATCTCTCGAACCTCTGCAAAAACTTCCTATCTGTCATGATAATAACGAACATGGTTGGTCAAGGCATAATTCAGATATTTATGAAGAAATACTAGAATACGTTGATGGCCAGCCGCGTCTCTCACGACGTGTGTCACGAGCATCAATTGCTTCAGGTATTTACGAGGAGATGAAGCCTACTACCCAAGCATTTAACGCCATCCATGAAGAGTCAGCTGAATCACAGCAGAGGTCAACAGCTGAAACTACACCGCCGCTACTGCCTCCGCTTCCACCACCTCGAAAACGTATAAACACTTTCGATGGGCAAGGCATGTTAGGTGAAATACCCCGTTCGAATACAAATCCTGAGTCTGAATTAGCCAAGAAAAAGAAATATAAAAACGTTTTGGACAATATATTTGGCAGTGGACGAGCCAAACGTGCTGAAAGCGTAAGCGAAACACAGGCTTGCACTGCGGAAGATATAATTAATAGTGTTACGCCGACTAAACCGATTAAAAATGATAAAGGAACTACACCTATATATGCTAACGATGCAGCTGCGATACGGCAGAAAAAGTCATGCACAACATCTGTACCAGCTATATCAAAGCGAAATAGTTTTTCCTCGCCAGATCTATCAAAGATCAACTACTTGGAGACGTTTGATGAAAATGAAATTGTTGTCGGCGCATTGCATGATTCAATTGCAACCAGTGATGATCTAAATATAAGCGACGAAGGTCTGCATAACGCTTGTTTCGTGCCGTCCAAAGAAGCATGTTTAATAGCGAATGAAAGGATATCAACGGATAGTCTAAATGTGTCTGAAAAAATTCCAAACAACTTTAATTTTTCTGCTATCAATTCGTCTAGTATAAATTTAATAGGCTATAATGGTGCCACCATACCTGCAAGTAATCAGAAAAGAAATAAAATATTGGTAGACGATTTAACAGGGTATTGTGTGATGGCACCTATCCAACCAAAGAAAACAGAGGAGACGGCTACCGACAAGGTACCTACCGACCCAACCACATCCGGTTACTCGACTAACTCGTATCCATCGACAAGTTCTTCCTCTGCAGAAGAACCGAAAGCATCAGCTGCAAAAGAAACTCGTCAAAATAATGCAGAAGAGAGCGCGATATATGAGCAAATGTTGGATCTGCACAAATCTAGTACCGAAATGGATACCACATCAAATAAATGTAATATGAAAGAAATCGATGTTGCGGCTAATCTCAGCTCAGCAACTGCTTTGACATCTAACTCTAACGTTCATGATTTTACCGGTAATTTGTACGAGAATTTATTGGCTGTTAAAGCATCACAAGAACTGGAACAACAATTGCCGCCTGCGTCGCTAAGCACAAGTACCCCAACAGAATCGCCACACACACAACCTGCTGTGGTAAATGAAAAGTCAGCAGAGGAAGAGGAAAACTACTATCAAACGCCGCGAAAGTCAATTATCAGTGTTGATGACAAAATTCCTTCTTACTATCCGAACAGCTGTGATACGGTGAAAACTCGCCGACACCATACATTGGCTACAGCGAGCCCACAACAAGCAGTTGATAATTCTCCACCCACAATATCTGGTGTGAACACAACCGAGGTAGGCACACCCTGTAAAAAGAAGAAAAAATACAAAATATTTTTGTTAAAATACGTTTTGTTGTTTATTTTATTTTGTAGGTTTTAAAAGTTGTTTGTTGTTGTTAGTTGTTTTTGGGAGTTCGTCTTTCCAATGTTTGAGTTTATTGTATATTGTCTTCGTTGTTGAAAACTTAGTTCGACCTTTATTTAAATAAACTCTTAATTTACAATGTTAAGTAGACAAATAATGTTGTTGTTGTAGTAGCGACTAGCGACAGAAAACATTACTTAAGTAATTTCGAGGAATGATGCCGAGTTGACAGTTCATGGCCGGATAAAAATCCGGAGAAACTGTTTCTTTTCTGTTGTTGTTGGCGTTCTTTTTAGTTTTCGTTTCGTTTTTTTTTTTGTTGTTTTTATCTTGGACGTTCTTTTTGTGTTTTTCTCTTGGTATTTTTTTTTGTGTTTTTTCTTGGATTTTTTTTCTTGGATTTTTTTTTTTGGTGTTTTTTTCTTGAATTTTTTTTGGTGTTTTTTTCTTGGAAATTTTTTGTTTTTGGTTTTTTTTTTTTGTTGTTTTTTTTTTTTTGTTGTTTTTTTTCTTGGTGTTTTTTTCGTGGAATTTTTTTTGGTGTTTTTTTCTGGAAATTTTTTTTTGTTTTGTTGTTTTGGTTGTTTGTTTTTTTGTTGTTTATTTTTTGTTGTCGTTTATTTTCTTGTTGTTTTTTTGTTGTCTGTTTTGTGGCTGTTGGCATTTTTTTTTTATCTTCTTGTTGACGTTTTATGCTGGCATTCTCCAAATACTTTTAAGGAATGCTGTCGAGTTGGCCGTCCTTAACCGGAAATCGATCTAAATGCGTACGGGTTTCGGAAACCCAACTGCTCCTTTATTTTATTTGGCTAATTATCATTGTCATTGTCAGATTATTTATCTAATAAATCTTAATTTATGAAACTTTCTCCTCCGCTGAGTTTTTTTTTTTTTACATTTTCGAAATATTTCAGAAATCCAACAATCCCTCATCATCAGTTGGTCTACGTCGCTTAGTTACTTTGAAAATAAAGCGTGAGCGCAAAGAGAACCTTTACATATCATCTCCACAAAGCATCATAGAGCAGCGACAATGTGGAAATTATGCGACGGAAGCAGACAACAAAAATGCACATAAGAGCAGCAAAGTGCATAAATCTCTGCGCGCGGGTGCTTTAAAAATTGCCGAACATGTCTATACCGTCAAGCATGCTAAGCAAAAAAGTAATAGTGCCGATAAGAATCTGAATAATAACAACAATGAAGCCGATTTGACGAATTTTCCCGAAGATGTACGTGAACGCCTGCAAACAGAATTGTTGCAATTCGCACTTTTGCAAAAGATTGACTTCAAATTTGATGACGCAAAAACAGCTGCGGACCAGCCGAATACGTTGGAGGATCTTAAAACGCCATCGCCTACCGGAAGGCGACAGCCAACCAACGCCGCCGATAAGGAGCGCATCTACGAGAATCTGCTGCACCACCACCTACAGTTGCGGCAAGCTGAAAACCGAATTGCTGCTGGAATTAGCAGCAATTTATGCAACACACCAGTGACTAGCGCCAGCGTGACAAACGCCAAATTGGAAATGCATCAGAGCTGCATGGCAGGTGTAGGCGATGAGGTCAACTTGGGCGTTGATGGCATGGCTGAGGTGGGCGACAGTTGCAGCGCCGACGCAGCTGTAGGCGGTTTGAGTAGTGTAAAAAAATTTGCTTCGTTGCCGCGTTTCAAGAAAATCGACTTCTCGCCACTGCGCTTGCGCATCAACAATGTGCTGCAACGCGGTCAGCAGCAGGATTTTTAATTGTATTGCGTCAATTTCCACAGCTATAACGGGATTCAACTGCAATTCAGTTTAAACGCGCATTAATTGCAAGAGATCGCTATTAGTTTAGCTGTAATCGCTTTAAAAGTGTGCTTATGTGAGCTCTAAATTATTTTACACTTGTTGAGTTTTCGATGCTATTTCAATTTTACGCAGCTTTAAGCTTTTGCGCTTGTTTTTAACATCTAATAGTAAGTTTTTATGTAAGCTCTCTCATTTTATATAATATAAGCTTTGGCTGTTCTATGTATGTAAGTATGTAAGCATGCGGGGTACTGCATGTTAAACGCTAATCTCACCATATCAATTGTTATTGTTTGCTTTTATTGGCTGACATTTAGAGTACAAAAACGTCGAAATTCGACCCAAAAGTGTGACTCCGTGAATAATCTTGTAGTATTGAAACTATATAAGTCTTATTTTTTCATAATTTTCACAATTTGTGCAAGGTTTATATATATATTTTTTTCTTTTTCGTTTGGTTGTTGTTGTTGTAGCGGCAGAATTCTGCCGAGTTGACAGTCCTTGGCCGGATAAAAATCCGTTTCCGTTCCGTTTACGTAGACTCGACTGTCATGGGATTGTTTGTTTGGTGATTCCATTGTGCTTTTTCTTTATATAATTAGTATTTGCAAATATATGTATGTGCTTACTGTGTGCTGTATAAAAAACAACATTGTACACTGTACAAACAATTATATGCTCAAAATGCTTTGAATTTTTAAATATATCTATTTAATTTATTGATTTATTTCATTTAATCTTTTAACTTATTTTTTTTTTTATTATTGTCATTATATTTTTTATTATTATTATTTTTTAATATTTTTTATTATTATTATTTTTTAATATTTTTTA